AGTTATGGAGGATATATTTTTACAAAAACAACGAAGAAAATATCAATATGTCAACATAATTTTAATTCAAACTCAAATTCAATGCAACTAGGGTTAATTATGACCAAAGATTTACACAAAGACTGCACGCATCCTGAAATACTGAAAGATGAATAAGATGAGGTGTTCCTGGAAGGTAAAGCAGCTTATTTCTTGGTTATGATAAAAAAAGAATGTCACATTCCCAAATAAGAACAAACCAAACAAAAACTAAACAATCGGGCATGTTAATGAGCTTTAAACACATCCACCTTTCATATCGAACAAGGAAATGGGACGTGTCCCAATGAGATCATTATGACAACTGTAAAATTTACTCATATCTTCATTAACTTGCATCTCAAAGATATACTATATATATATAATTTTTAGTGTGAAAAATTCAATTTTCAAGAATATACATATATACTTGACATATTAGCCTGAATTGAACGAACTGTGGGATTAGTATACCTCCTTAACATTTGATTCCACTTAATTGCTATCTAGATTTTCATACTTTAGACCTCTGGCATCACTGGTGAGTCTTAGAGATAAGACTGAGCTGCAATATAGCTCAGCAAGTAGAGCATTGGACTTGGCAATCTCTTGCCTTGATGTATGTGGTTTGACAATCTCTTCTTGGTTTCCGTTTTTCACAGAACTCTGAAACAGATTGTCATGTGCTAAAGAGGCAATGTCTGAGGGCGAGACATGAACTCAGAAACAGATTGTCCTGTTGTAAAGTGGCAATGTCTGAGGGCAGGTCATGAACTAAGAAACAGATTGTCCTGTTCTAAAGTGGCAATGTCTGAGGGCAAGACACAAACTCAGAAACAGATTGTCATATGCTAAAGAGGTGATGTCGTGAGTGCAGCACATTTTACACCCTTTGCTTTACATAACATTACCATACCTTCCATAACTGTTCAGTGAGGTACAACCAACTATAAAGAAACCTGCCTTAAAATGACAGGGACTGTTTAAGGGACAAAATAACTGTATATTGATGCAGTTTACTTCATTATTTGGCACCTATAATGTCTATAACTCATTGGTAAAAAAATGTGCTGCTAGTATGCGCATGGTTGGCTTATGTACAGCCCTTTTATAAAGTGTTTATGTGATATCACATTATCAAAGATTTTCCTAATTTTTAAAAGGGAATAATTGCTGCGTTTAAGTGAGGACAAGGTCATGTTAGGGCTCCCACGCCCAGATGAATGGTTAGACTGTGTTTTGTGGTGAAGAAACAGGCGGCCACCAACACCACTTGTTTCACTATCTGATTATCTGATACTGTATGATACATCTTCTCCTACCGCAGTATCAGGTTAACTTTCAACAACAGGTATCTCTAATCAAAGTAAGAATGCAGTCTTTCTAAATAGTTAAAATGTATTAAGATATGTATTTTTGGTGGATCAAAGATAAATTATTGTTATGATATATGCGATATAATTATTGCCTGAGTGGTTTTTGCGGAAGGATTTGAGATGGGAGGATTTTGATTTTGTATACCTCATTATGCAGCATTAAGTCTTTCCTAAATTTTGAAAGTTCCTAATTGGCTGCATGATATGGAATTAGAACTTTCCTCAGGACTAAAAAGCTTTGGATACTTAAAACCTAACATTAAAACACAAGAATATATATAGGCCAAAAAGCTCCAGTAAATCTCATAGCTTCTGTAGTTACAATGTATTACTATTTTATCTATGGGGCTATCTGCACCTGTAAATTGTCATAGCTTCTGTAGTTACAATGTTTTACTATTTTGTCTATGGGGTTATCTGCACCTGTAAATTGTCATAGTTTCTGTAATTACAATGTATTACTATTTTGTCTATGGGGCTATCTGCACCTGTAAATTGTCATAGTTTCTGTAATTACAATGTATTACTATTTTGTCTATGGGGCTATCTGCACCTGTAAATTGTCATAGCTTCTGTAGTTACAATGTATTACTATTTTGTCTATGGGGCTAACTGCTCCTGTAAATTGTCATAGCTTCTGTAATTACAATGTATTACTATTTTGTCTATGGGGCTATCTGCACCTGTAAATTGTCATAGCTTCTGTAGTTACAATGTTTTACTATTTTGTCTATGGGGCTAACTGCTCCTGTAAATTGTCATAGCTTCTGTAGTTACAATGTTTTACTATTTTGTCTATGGGGTTATCTGCACCTGTAAATTGTCATAGCTTCTGTAGTTACAATATATTACTATTTTATCTATGGGGCTAACTGCTCCTGTAAATTGTCATAGCTTCTGTAGTTACAATATATTACTATTTTGTCTATGGGGTTATCTGCACCTGTAAATTGTCATAGTTTCTGTAATTACAATGTATTACTATTTTGTCTATGGGGCTAACTGCTCCTGTAAATTGTCATAGTTTCTGTAATTACAATGTATTACTATTTTGTCTATGGGGCTATCTGCACCTGTAAATTGTCATAGTTTCTGTAGTTACAATGTATTACCATTATAAGTTTTCTTGAAGTTAATCGTTTTTTTGTTGATATCTTTTCATGGGAAGAAAATTGTCTTTGAAGCAATGTAGAAAGATTAAGATTTCTTTGTCATATAAAATGTTAAAATTAACTGCAGGAAGTTTCCTCACAAAAAAATCCTCACATGCTTTAATTTGTTGGGATAATTGAGCTCGGTTTTTTTCATTAAAAAAGTGTTTTTAAAATTTATTTCAAGTGATTGATTAATCAGAGTGTAGAAATAAATATTGAGCCTTGTCCTGTACACCACAGAAAATATAAGAAAGGAAGTGTACTTTTCATTATTTATGTATAAAAGAGCTAGGATGAATGCTTTTGATGGACTGTTAATATCTTATTACATATTGGCAATCAGAGATTTATTTAATGTCTGTATATAGTCATCATAATGAAAGTCTATTGGGTCATTGAGAGGTAAACCTCAGATCAATACAAATCAGTACATATCTATAATGGTCTTACTCATGTATTAGGTTAGGTGCTGAGTCAGAGCTGGCGGTGGAACTGTCTGACAGGGGGATGTGTCACCTTGCTAGATATAGAAACAGATCAATATTGGAAGTAAACTTGTTTTATCTGACACCTGTATCTGACACCTGTATCAGACATGTATACAGGTAAAATACAAACCTTTCTTATCTGACACCTGTCAAAACCTTTTTAACTTGGACCTATAGCAGAGACAGATCTAGAGGTAAAACACAAACCTGTTTTACCTGACACCTGTATCTGACATGTATACAGGTAAACCACAAACCTGTTTTACCTGACACCTGTATCTGACATGTATACAGGTAAAATACAAACCTCTCTTATCTGACACCTGTCAAAACCTTTTTAACTTGGACCTATAGCATAGACAGATCTAGAGGTAAAACACATACCTGTTTTACCTGACACCTACACAATAGACAGATAAAACAAATCTGACACCTGTACGCCTGTCAGATTTACAGGTAAAACAAAACTGACACCCGCATGCCTGTCAGATTTACAGGTAAAACAAATCTGACACCTGTACGCCTGTCAGATTTACAGGTAAAACAAAACTGACACCTGTACGTCTGTCAGATTTACAGGTATAACAAATCTGACACCTGTACGCCTGTCAGATCTACAGGTTAAATACATACCTGATTTATACTTTTTACCTGTATCATAGACAAAGGTCATATCAAATGCACAATACCAAAAACAAATCACACGTACCATAAATGAAAAAGGGCTCAGAAATTCGGAATAACCAGGGTTCTGCACTATTAACATGTTTGTTATGAAATGCTAGAGTTAAACAAGTTTCATTCTTAGTGCCATATATGAAAACATTTGTTATTGTTACAAAAATGGCTTGTAGCAATTATCTACAAGGTATTGAATTCTTGTTCAGGATATGATGCCCACTTTCAAATAGATCCCTGTTGTATCTCTAAAACATTGTGTCATGCTCCTTTATGAGATCATGCATGTGAAGGCCTCATATACATGTCATTTACTGAAAACGATACTGTAATTTGAAGCCAACTTATCACCAGACAAGATCTACAACAAATATTGCTATGGCAACAGCTGTATGTAAAAGTGGTATTGTTGTAGTAATATCTGATATCAAGGACACCTACAGTGCTAAGAGTGATATCAGTTCAGCTGCATGAACAGAAAACTGCCATTTGATCTTGTCCAACGATGAGTCAAAACGTGTCAACTTCATGATCATTTTTTTGTTTTTTTCTGTGATTTATATCTGATCGCAAACATGATATTTGATGATTCTGTTTAAGATTTATCATTGGAAGACAGAAGTTATCGCAAGAGTATCTTTGATTAGAAAACAATGGCATCAGCTGGTGTTCATTGTTACAAACATTGTAGCCTAGGACAAGTACTCAAAAGTCTAAAAGATATGTAACCTATAGACTGCATTGCAGCTCAATGATGGCCTTAATAATACATTATCTTTTTGAAAGTAGAAAACCTCCCATTCAAGTTTTACTCTTATACACTTTTGTAGACATACTTCTGAGAGTTTTCAAAGGGTTTTCAAGGGTTTTTTGTTGTAAACACAAAATAACACACAGCAACTTGAGCTAATATACAGAGAAGTTGAATCTTGATTGATTGACCTTGATTCAACTCCAAGGTCAAACTTTCATGAGTGTTTAGATTTTCATGGTAAAATGGCATTACTCGTGTATAAAATATTGCATATACATGTTCACATACAGCAGCCTTTCTTTAGAGAAGTATCCCTCCTGTCAACAGATGTTATAAACCAAGGCTTGTGATGTCTTACACAAGTTTCAGACACCTAGTTTAATTTCCATAAAATCATTAAGTCTCAGAAATGGGAAAGGAAGAAGCTTGAGATGCCTGCGATAAGAACTGTTATACAGAGGAGTCCATCAAAACAAGACTTTAATAACGGCATATTTTACTCTTATCTATATTGATGTTAATTGTGTTTCAGGTACCATGGACCCGAAGGACTTCCTGGCTGAGGCTCAGATCATGAAGAAGCTGCGACACCAGAAGTTGATCCAATTGTATGCTGTGTGTACCCAAGATGAACCCATCTATATTGTCACCGAGTTGATGAGACATGGTAGTCTACTCGAGTACCTTCAAGGTATGACATCACATCCTGATAAAAATTATTGTTCTGATGACGGATCACTTATATTCAATACATATCGACAACCTTCTGAAGGAATAAATCTTAAATTGGAGAGGACCTGACCATCTTGTCTCCACACTAGGAACCTTAATATATAACATAATACAAGCAACTTTTACTGCATATTTAAACATATATAACATTATCATACTCCCTAATAGTTAGACCTCTAACAGTGGCAGTGTTATTATATGTAATTTGATATAAGACAAGTGCTCTGAGATTACAGGTAGATAGACACTAGGTATCTAGTCTGTTATCTTTTTAATTACATTAACACCTGTAGTGTCAAGATTAAAATTACTGGTAATTGAAGACATAAGCTTTAATAACTAGGATTGCAGCTTGAAACTTAAATTGAATTAGAGATTTGGAAATCAATTCTGAAACAAAACCAAAACATCCTATTCGTGGCCATAAATCTAATAGTTACACAATGCAGATTGAAACTCATTTCACACTTACTTTTTTCATAGGCCAAAACAAAATATATTCATGTTTTTCTTCTTGCTGTCTGAGATTTTTCTGCCTACCTTAGACATTTTCCTGACTGTTTTAGACAAGCGTTGATAAAGACAGGATCCATTCATTTATATTATATATTAGTAAAGTACTTTCCCAAAAATTAAATGTACTGTCTACCTAGCTACTTACCTGATCTTAAAATTTCTTTACAAAGGAATATAGATAATTTGTTTTGGGCTGATTTTGGCCTGTTATTGCAATGTCTGTTGTATAACTGAAATATGAATTACAACAGATATTTACCAATCTATGCACCTGGCGATCCTATTAAAATTTAATAACTTTCATCAGGTAAAGGGAGAAGTCTGAAGCTACCCCAACTGATAGACGTTGCAGCTCAGATCGCAAGTGGCATGGCATACCTAGAGTCACAGAACTACATACACCGTGACTTGGCTGCAAGAAATATCCTTGTAGGAGAAGCTAACAATGTAAAGATAGCAGACTTTGGTCTGGCTAGGGTCATTAAGGTTAGTACTCAGCAAGTTTTGTCTGGTTGTAATAAGCATTTGTTTGTAATGGCAATTAAAACTGATATTTTAACAATATATTATGTAGTACAATAATGTGTCACTCTTACACTCATTAATACCTGAACATTTTCCATTGATTCTGATACATTTAATTTTCCCTCATTTTTTAATCCTGAAACACCAATCACACATCAATAAAGTAACCTGTTACCATGGTTTTTCGTTTTAAGGAGGATGAATACGAGGCCAGAGTGGGTGCACGCTTCCCTATCAAGTGGACAGCTCCAGAGGCGGCTAATTACAACAGATTCACTATCAAGTCTGATGTGTGGTCCTTTGGCATTCTTCTCACAGAAATTGTTACCTATGGCAGAATACCATATCCAGGTCAGTTATAATGTCATACAGTGAATCAGAAATTATTTAACCTATCTTATTCACACGCTTTTGAACTTTTAATGAGTAGAAATTCAGGATTGTGTAAATTCAAAAGACTAGGGGACAAAAATTGCTACATATAAAAAAATTGTGATTTATATAAATGTGATTTCTTAAATCACCCTCCTGTATGTTAGTTAGATAGTCACTAGCAACTGCAAGGAGACCCCTAATTTGAAATGATGATTAGATCTTAGCTGTAAACTGGAGAGTAATGCAACGAAGAAAGAAATAAAACCAGTTAAAATTGTTATATATATATTTTCCAATGTTTTTTGTCTAGGTCCAATTATTGTTGAAGTAAAAAGTAAAGTTACCTTGCTTCCTCAAACCAATAACATATTGTAATTGCTTTAATAGACGTCGTAAATCAGCCTTAATTTCATTTTTGATGCCTGTGTAATTCCTTCACATTTACAAATAAAGTAGTATGACATCAACTGTTTAGAAATTCTGGTTGTTTTGTGTACAGGTATGACAAATGCTGAAGTGTTACATCAAGTAGAACATGGTTACCGTATGCCCAATCCTCCGGGCTGTCCCAAACCTCTCTACGAGATCATGCTGGAGTGCTGGCGGAAGGAAGAGATGGAACGACCCACATTTGAGACACTACAATGGAAGCTGGAGGAATATTTTGCCAATGAGGGTACTGATTACCGAGAGGCCGGAGCTGTTAGATAGAACAAGGGAGATAACTCTAGTTACTACCAATATGTACAAGATTATATAAAGACTGCCTTGCTGTCACAGGAAGCTGGTATTGGGCTGGGTGTACTGACCCATCCAGTCGTATATGTAGTCAGCTTCAGCTACATTACGATGACAAGTGTTTAAGAAGGAGGACAGAGATCATCTTTGCTGCCCAAAAATGTTTTTTTTTCTCTCAAGTTTTATAAAAAAAAGTATTTTATTTATTTATTTTAACCGATTGGAGATGTCTTTTTCTCATGGTGCACAAAGTGACAAAGTATAGTTGGATTGTTTACTCTTGGAATAACTGGAGACATACTGTTAAGTGCATTGTTGTGTATTAGGAGGCTAAAACATTAATGGCCAGTCATTATCTTCCATACGTTGGGTTGGTGTGGTTCAAAATGTGCCTAAAGAGACTTGGCACAACAGCTCCCCTATCTCCTGCAGATGGATACTTCATTTGCAGACATAATATTGTCAACAACTGCAGTGAACATTGCTGACTTATAGATGTGTTGTCACAAGAAACTACTTTCACATGAAATGGTACCAAATATGTCGGTTCCAAGAATATATCTAAAGAAGGAATTTTTTTAACATTTTTCCTTCCATTTTCAATATAGATACATTCTTGCATTCTTGTATAATGTTCCAGGAAAACAATTTTTTCAAATTTCAAGAATGATTATCTCTGCAGCATGGATAATGTGCATGCTCTGGAAACTTTCTGTGTACTAATTGCTTGAGTCAGTATGCAAATTAGACCTGACATTCAGTAAGTTCTGTATAGAGTGCATTGAGTATTTTTGAAGACAGAACTCTTATTCTGAGTTGTGAAGTGTTCTGATTGGTTGGAAGTTAGGTATACCGGTTATTCAAATTTACTAGTCACTGTCTAGGGTTTCTATTTTATAAATATATATGAAACACAGTTATTGAAAGGTAATTCATCCTTGAGATTTGAAGAAATAAAATTTAGTATGTTAATACATCCTTCTCTGTAAATCCTAACGTGACTGTGGTGTGTTACAAAACTTAATAACACTTAGCTGGAATTTCATTGTTTGTAAATTTAAAGGATATTGACAAAGTCAGAGATCATTTGTTGGCAAACTGACATTTATACTGTGGCTGTGCTGTGTTTCCTGAGAAATTCATGTTTAATTGTTTAATTCACAATTTACTGGATGAACTCTAACATGAATTGAGAAAGATTCATCAGGATTTTCAACTTTTTGCCAATGCAGTGCGGAGAAATTGTTTTGACGCTGACTGATTAGATGTTATAGGGTAGTTGGAACTGCTATGACGGAACTACCTTCTTTTGTATCTTCACTTGTTAGTTAACACATTAATATATTGATACAGTGCTAAATTGCCATAATGGATTGTCAATGCCATGTCTGTATTATGTGATAAGGTTTGATCTCACCCTACATCGTAGTCTAGTTCACTGGTTTGTAAATCTCCTATAGCTACAGATAAAGCTTTACACAATGCAGGCAGTTTGATGCTTTGGGCTTTGAATGCAAAAGGGTGAATTTCACATTGGTTTTTATCGTAATACAAAATGTGTAGTTATCACAACTTGCTTTTTTCTTGGTTTTGCAAACATGAAATAATTTTTTATAGGTAACTGTAGTCATACATACATTGTATGGCATCCCATCATTACAATCAGTAATGTTCATTCTAGTATTTATAATCATTTTATATATTGGTTAAAAAAATTCCTGTTGGACCAAAGGATAAAGATGTTATGTTCATGTATACAGATGTCAAGCTTGATACCAGTACAGTGATAGAGATAAGTGGGCTGTAGTACACTCACATCTCCATGGTAACTGTTGATTTGATTACTAAGGTGACCCAGTACACTCACATTTCCTTGGTAACTGTTGATATGATTACTAAGGTGACCCAGTACACTCACATCTCCTTGGTAACTGTTGATATGATTACTAAGGTGACCCAGTACACTCACATCTCCATGGTAACTGTTGATTTGATTACTAAGGTGACCCAGTACACTCGCATCTCCATGGTAACTGTTGATTTGATTACTAAGGTGACCCAGTACACTCACATCTCCATGGTAACTGTTGATTTGATTACTAAGGTTACCCAGTATGGTACAATGTTTTATATTTGTATTTCTCTTCATACATAATATTGCACATTTTTATCCACCCATTTTAACAGATTTCTATATTGGTGTCTGCTTCAGCTTGGTTGTCATGATGTTGTATAGGTTGCTAGGTGATGCAATCTTAAAGCTGATATTGTGTTATATTTGCCTTTACTGTTTGGAACAATTTTGTATGTCAGCTGTGTCCCCGTAAGCCTTCATGTCTGGTATCTAGATTTTGTTGCCATAGCATTGAAAACGTCACCAAGGTATCATTATATTGTCGTAGACATGTTTCCTGGAACTGATATTGTATACAAATTTGTGAGGCGAGAGTCTGGTGTTTGTTACAGGTATTTTCTAACAGAAATTTGATTGAGATTGTGAATGAAGGTTGTAGTTCAACAATGCTGATAATTTTTAAATGCTGCAGGATTACTTTGGAAACTTCACTTGGTATATGATAAGGTTGATAGGAACATGTGTCTGTAGGTTTGCACCTGTTGTGAGGTTGATATGCACATATTGATAAGTTGATTTGCGCTTATTGCTAAACTTTTTTCCATGTTGATATATATGGATGTTATAGAAGACAGATTCTATCCACTTACTTCCAACCCAGTGATGGATACTGTTCATTGAAGGACTGTACCATTGTTTGTCACAGGTTATGAAAACCATACTTCATAAGAGATTATATAAAACAAGTCTTAGCAGATTTAATTGAAAAGATAAGATAATAATAACTCAGAAAAGTTACATCTTGACAAGTTTTTAAAGTGAAAATTCGGAGAACGAAATCAAACATTGATAGCCATTTTGTCGCAACCTTTTCATTTGATGGCATAACTTTATTGTCCATATTTTGACATCACAACCAATTTCGGATTGGCACAGCCAGTGAAAAACTCCCAAGAGTCGAGGGTATATTACACATATTAACTGGATGACAGGTGGATTATGTGAATAGTTCTGTTCTTGAGACATCCAATTTCCAAGAAATACTGTTACCTGTACATGTAGACACATCCAGTAATTTCAGACAAAGTTTTAGCAACTAGAGGTTGATGAAAGTACGGTTGGTGGTGAGATGCAGCATGTATGGGTATGCAAGGCTGAAACATGTTATGAGTGTGTGGCAATGTGTGGATACAGGAAGATAGGTAAGCAGTGTAAGAGTGCCAAATTGTGTTAGCATGGCATGTGTTTGTACTTTATAGTAACAATATGAGGGCAAGTGTCTTTATATTGATTCATAAAAATGTATGTCATTAATATATCTCTAAACTTTTTACCACAGTATCGCAGCAACATCCATTTGCCAACATTTTCATGTCAAACATTGATGGCGACTTGCAATAGTTACCTTCAGCTGACCAATCATATTGCTCATAATTAATGTAGAGATAATTTTGTTTTGTCAAGCTTTGTTGAAAATCATGTCAGTCCAGAAAGGGTGCTTCACATACAAAAGAGTACAATTCTCAGCTGGATGATATTCACCTAGTATGTTACTTATTTTTAGTACATTTAGTGATTTCATAAGTGGAATATTGTTATTTACTTGGAATATTGTATGTATGTAAAAATATTATATGCAAAAATGACAATTTTTGATATGTCCAAACCAAACCATCTGTGGTACTGTTCTTTTTTTTTTTTTTCATTCATTTGTCAGTTGTACAAATAAAGATTCTTCTATGTTAAATGGCATTAAAAAAAGTTTTAGTACAGGAAAGTTAAACTGAGAACAATTTTTGATAGGTTTTGATTTTCATCTACATTTCCTTGTTGTTTATGACAGATATCAACTACAGAAACAATGATTTTGCCAAAAAGGTGCATATGGTGTTGATGGTGCAGTTAGTGCTGCTTAACAGGGTCACAAAACAGAACTGTGATAACTACAGCAAAACAAGATGGAATGAAAAAACAATTTTTTTAAGTTAATGTATTAGAATCTCCTTGTCTTGACTTTTATTAGTGCAGTACGGGTAACATTCCGTGAAAACTGAATATTTGTTAAAATTCGAGAAGCTGCCATAAAATATGCATTTTTATTGAGCCTGTGTTAACAAATGTACAAAATACGAAATAATATGCATTTTTGGTGCACTTTGATTTCTGTGATTTTCGGCTATAACAAGCACTATATATATATACTATAGAACAATTCCCATGAAATTCACATGATTTGTATCACTATCTGTTCTACTATAGGTCAACATATTGTTAAAACAGCTGTCACATCAATCTAGTTTCATGATAACCTAACTTTGTGATTCACAGAAAGCTATTGATTGAAATATCACTAATTTAAAACATGAAATCTGTTAATATTCAATCAATACTTCATTTACAAAGACGCTAGTGTGAATACATTGTGTATATAGACCAACAGTATTGTGTTCCTGGTGTAGTATAGATCATAAAACATGAAGGCTGCTTTTGCATAATCAAGTTGAAAGTCCAAATATAAGTATCAATCACAACAGTCTGCAGAGTGGTTGTTCCTTGTATTGATTATCAAGTTGAAAGGGTTAAGGCAGCTGGAATTATTCCATGATGAAAATGAAGGCACTTGTGCTGGATGTTGGAAATGTTACACATAGAGCTTAAAATGCATGGTTTTGGAATTATCTGTCAGTCCTACATCAATGACCAGATGATAAGATATGTTCCATTTTAACTCGTACTGATCAATTATTATAACAGTTCCAGAAATATGTGAAGGCGTCAACCCTATTGTATGCAGAAACTCTAAAAACAGCCGGTTATATTTAGACAGGTACAGCTGCACTTCTGTAACTGTACATCACATATTTTGCAGCTCAGCTTCGGTCTTGATCTGTGCCTGGCATATTTCAAGCAGGTTTCAATCGCCTTCATGAAAAGACCTTAATTTGTGGTTTATCATCACCAATTTGGTGATTGTGCATCATCTCAGATTTAAAGCTAGTTTATGACCCCTGAAAGAGGATACATTTGCCTTGAAAAGTTGTAGGGAACAGAACACTTCCTCGATTCTGTACATATATAAATCACTTAAGTATGGGGAAATGGTTGTGATTGTGTTGATGAATGGCTAGTCACTGTGTTGTAGTAGTCCCATTAATGTGTACAACAGATAATATAAATGTTTTTGTTCAGCTGACGAAAAATCTAAAATTTCAAAAATGAATTTGTATTTTTGAAAGCTGCAAATGAAATGTCCCTGGATGAAGTGGACTGCATCAAAAATCATTTGACTGGCATGCTTTTTATCTAACTGGTTAACCTTAAGCTTATATATACATATATATCAGATAACATCAGTTCTATAATGTATTGGAAAGTCTTTGGTTCCTTACACTTGTACAGTATGGAACCAAAGGCATGTTGGTACAATATTTCACGTTTTTTTTTTTAAAGCTAAACATTTGAAATCGCTTCTCAAGCCTTTCACTGCAACCCTAGATCAGATCACAGGACCAAAACTAAACAGCAATTTTGGGAATGAGAGTGGTAGTTTATGCCAATTTCAAAGTTTACTTGCACTTTCAATTTACAGAAATTTGAAAAGTTTGATGCTTCTATATGTATGAACGGAATCGTAAAATTCAAATATGTTACAGTTAATAAGGAACTGAACAGAATATCAGATATTGGTAGGTAGGTTATAATTCTGTATTGAGAGCAGTGGCCATTGATATGAAGTTTACCTAGCTTACATAATCAAACTTATATCCAGTTATAATTTACCAATTTTGCAAAAAGGTTGATGACAAATTATTTGGTTTGTAAGCTTATTCAATGTATCTTTTTCAAATACAATTGTAATATAATGTTTCAGATTACCTACTATTCACATTAATATTGAATAATTTTTGTTCTAATAATATGCATACAGTGTATATATTGGACGTTAAGCTAAAGAGTCTGGAGGAGATATTTCTGTCAGGAGGCCGAGTGCAATCTATATATGAATACAGAGGTATAACTATATATATATATGTATCCCACGTGTATCGTACGTCAGAGACTTGTGTGTCCTCCACTTCCTTCTGTTGTTCATGTTGTAATGTCAATATCTTGGTGTGTAACTCACAATCTCTGTCAACAAGTCATCATACAATAAACAAACAAATACACCTGCTTCTTGTTTTTCTTTAACAATACGTAATGATTTGGCTACCATATTATATCCAACTTTAAAGTCACTCGTCCATACCTTCTTCTGCTGTAAATATTTCGGAGGTTTCCACAGACATTCCTTCAGTTCACTTCTTGCGGCAGTTTTTTTCTTTAAATAATGTCACAAATCTTCACACAAAAGATGTACACCTCCATATCATTACCTCAGTACAGAGAACTGTCGTCATTTGATAGATCTGTCCCATCCCTAACCAGTGAAGAGTTCATATTGAACCTTTATACTTTGTTTACATGAAAAGGTTTTGTACAGGCTATATATAGCTAAAGGTAGTAACTTTGATAGAGTGAAGATGAGCATTTGTGGCAGTTTTATCATGAAACAAAAAACAAACAAATGTTGCTGGATTTTTAAAAAGTAATGGTCCCGACAATAAACACGATATGGATGAAACTGTCCAGTTGGAGGAGTATACATCTGTGTAGTTTGTGTCTACTTACTACATCTTAATATCATCAATGTTAATGGTTCAACACTCTGAACAACACCATTATTGATTTGTACTCGGACTTCTATACAATATCGGTCTTCCAATTAATTGTGATAAACAAAAATAATTTACACATTTTTATGGAATGATATTTGACGAAATGTTGATCTAAAATATCTTAAGGTGGATATGTGCTGAAATCATTGATAAATGTATAGGAATAAAAAATCTCTCGTCTTGTCAATTTTCAGATAAGCAAAGACTACCAATCTTAAACAAACAACAATAAATATATTCAGATAAACTTTAATATCCAACTGTCGATATTTAAACTTTCATCTTGATGCCTCTCTTTACACCAGCCCTGATCCCTGATATTTCTCCTGCATAACGGGACATCTCCGTCTTAACCTCGCGGACCTGAAGCATCAATAATAGTAAGTTCATGATAGATAAGTTCTTACCCCTGTTGTTATTACTAGTAACACATCTGGTTTGTAGACAGAAGTGTTTTAAAAGCATGACTGGATTTTGTACAGTTCAAACTGTCTTAATACCTAGTTTTAATGACGATAAACAAGAGGAATCTACATATAGAATATGAGAAAGATCCATCCCTTAATTCTCCGGGAATAGCAATAACAAATTATTACTGCTCAAATCTCCAGAAGACTGCCTATCGGCCATTTTGTGGATCAGTCTAATTTGGACAAAGCACAACTAGAGACCAAGGCAAACTTACATAGGAAATTTGAAGATGATTCATTTAATACTTTTGAGAAAAAGGAATTTAAACAGCCTACAATCTGTTGATGGTAGGCTATTGACTCAAGAAAGAAATTTTTATAATTGACCCCAGACAACATGATCTCGGTAGATGTTTGTCCAGAAATACAAATCAATCTACAATACATGAATTCAGTCAACAAAGCACACACAGCCTTTGAAATAATTTCCACAGAATTTTTGTCTCACTGGTCCTGTTTATTGGACGAGTCGAACATCATGTGATATTGTGACACAAAGTCTGATTCATCAGGTGACATTCACCCAGTCTGACTGGTCATGTGATTTTCACCCACTCTAATGGGTCATGTGACATTCACCCAATCCAGTTGGTTGAATGAAATTACCCCTATCTGACTGGTCATATGATTTTCACCCACCCTATTTGGTCATGTGATATCCTACCAATCCAGTTGGTTGTATGAAATTCACCCAATCTGTCTGGTCATGACATTTTTTCCCACTCCAATGGTAATGTGAAAGTCACCTAGTCTGGCTGATCATGTAACATTCAGTCAAACAAGTCATGTGATTTGCTACGGTTTATAATTTACCTGTCCCTTCCTCCTGATCTTGGCCTTCCTGAACTTGAGCTTGTTTTTCACACGAGGATTCCTTTGTTCTTTCTTCCTCTTGGGAGTCAAGCCCTTATTCTTGGCAATCTTAAACACATAGTCATCATAAATACATTAGAAAATCTAACAGCATTTCACATCAACATTACTGTAAACAAACTTCTCTCATGGCTACTATCTTTCATGATTACAACAATACAACTGGTTCCTGGTGATTCAGATCTGAGACCAGAAATCTCATAGAAATAAATCATTGTCATTGATGGTAACAAGCAGATTCATGGAATCTAAATCCCAGCTTACAAAGATCAAACATCTAAGGCAGCCAAGGTTTGGCTTAAGGATGGTGAAATGAATCCATAAACGGAATTCCCTTGAAATTCCATTGACATTTAGTAGTAAGTCAGAATTGAAGCCCTAAATGAATTATAAATGTAAACAAACAACATTGATAGTCAAAACTCAGGCTGAAGAATTGATTTTCATGATTTCATTTTGATAAAAAATTGTACAAGTAAATCAAACCAAAATGAGTTGATTCACAGTACTGAAGTATATAACATTCCATGCAGTGCTTTGATACTTGTTATTTTTAAACCACTTTAGTATATGAGAAATGCATATGTTTATTACTTATGGACAAATCCGGAATCTTTCTCCGACATCAACCAAAACTACTACTTGTCCTAGTCTAAAATAATTGTAGTATATTGTTATAGTGTTGAAGAGGACAGATGATATTCACAGTATACAATGTCTTTTGTTTTCCTTGGGATAACTGAAGTAAGGGATATATACCTGATAAGTGATGGCTCTCTTGCCTTCCTCATCCTCTTCTCCTTCCTCCATTACGTCTACATCTGGTGCCTCCTCCCCGTCCTCCGCACCACTGGTACCAGATGGAAGAAAGATTATAATTACTTGACTCAATATTAACTTGTATAAAACATACAAAGCAGAGCTGACTTCACTTTTTTCCTTTACCGAATTGCCAGTTTGTCTTGTATAATAACTGATTCTTGTTATTGTGTACCAGGCTATTTTCGTTTCGGGTTATTTTTACTCTGGTAACATTATGCATGATTTCACTACATGAACATTTCACCCTCTGAGGACTATATAAAGAGTAACATATGTATATTAAATGTTCACCCTTAACTTGAATTCTCCCTCCCTTTTCAAGGAAGGAAATTAAACCAGGATGAAAATTTCCCAGTAAACGGTATCATCAAACCAAATATATAACCATACTAATTTTCGATACCTATACTCTGTGCATACCTGTCCATTTCCTCGTTATCTCCGTCCTGTGTCCCCTTCATCATACGGTAGTATACCAGGGCTGCCTTCTCATCCTCAGTCTCATACCTTCCACTTCCAGAATTCTAGATTAAACAAGGTCATCATCATACATTTTAAGATAACACTAAAGTAAGTATTACCAAATTGATCTGATAAGCCTAAATGTAATAATAAGCCCACTCCTATATACTGTTGCATAGCAACAATTTCAACAAATACAATTTTAATATCTTGTGATAAGCCCACCTCTAGCTTTGTGTCAGAAGTAATGTGTTGACCTCCTTAGGTCTTGTAATAAGCCCACCTCTAGCTTTGTGTCAGAAGTAATGTGTTGACCTCCTTAGGTCTTGTGATAAGCCCACCTCTAGCTTTGTGTCAGAAGTAATGTGTTGACATCTTTAAGTCCTTTAATAAGCCCACTCCTAACTTTATGCCAGAGGTAACGTGTTGGCCCAGAGGTCCTATAATAATCCCACTCCTAACTATGTACCAGAGGTAATGTGTTGCCCCTTGAGGTCCTGTAATGTGCCTATCTCTAACTGATTTCAGATTGGTTTTTGATATCTAGCCACAAATGACCAATGCTCTCCAAGATCATACAATCCATTGTTCTGTGTAAGGAGTTTAGCTCTACAACAAACCTTTGTTTTTTCCTTTGTATCATCCTCATCATTGTCATCTGATTCAGACACTAACTGGCTCAGTTTTTTACTTTCCACTCTCTGTCTAGAGAATTTCACCGATTTCCGCCTGTAACATGATAATATTCAATTAAATATGAACTATAGTGGATCAGGAAAAGAGAAATAAGATTTTGTAAGTAATAATAAATGAATGAAATTGAAGGTGAAATGTAGGAGAAACAGGTATTTCAGGATCACTGTAAATTCTACACCTACATATATAGGTAACAGTACATCTGAAAATGATATCCTCACAGGCTTATAACAAAAAATACTTTAACAATAGAATCCAAATGGACATATTTTTTGGTTTGTTTTAATTATTTGTTTGAAACTAATTAATAATATAGATATTACATTTCCAATTTTCAAAGGTACCTGATAAATCCCTGTTTTTTCTCCTCCACTGATGAAAATTCCACTTCCTCTCCTTTCTTTAATCGATCCAAAATATCGGTCATTTCATCCTTTAACTGGACATCAAGTGGCTCAAGCTCTTTCATCAGCTGTCAAAAAAGACATGGCTGTACATAAGTATACAAAGTCAGTCTCAACAGCTAGAAGAAATACTATACATCTTAAAAGTAATGCACAATATACTGAGAATTAGATTATTAAACACCACCTCCTACATTAGCAAATTGCTCAGAATATCAGTTCCAGTTTTCAAAGAAGCCAGATTAGAGTTGTAATACAAGAATCATTGAGAGTCTAGCTGAAAACTCTTCTGACACTATTATCTATTTTCACTGTCTAATATTTCAGCAATTGCATGCCTTTCAATTTTTTTTTTTTTTCTTTTATTATTTTTGTCTTTTTCTGATTACTTAATGAAAATGTATATAAGTATTCATTCTGTCTGCTACAACAAAACCACATTCTTCATACACAATTAAATGGAACTGTTTCCGACACATCTGAAACATTTTACATATAATCAGGTATACATGGTTTAATCAAACCATTAACATACAGCAGTTCTGATGACTTACATTACGGTACTGTACAAGGCGTTTAATCACTGGATGGTTGTGAACTGCAATCTGTTTTGATTTCAGCATCATATAAAAGCTGATGTTGGTACAATAACTGTGTAGAGAGAAAAGTAACATGAATGTATACATTCTTCTCAAAATCAGATACACAGACAGTATTTGTACGGAGGAGATCTTGACATCTTAATCAAGTACAATATTTTACAAATAGTATGTAATATCATTAGTGTATTTACTAAATCGCCCAGAGCAAATGTATAACAAAGACAAGGTTTATAAATCATAACAGCTTCAATTCTCTCGGGATGTTTCAATTTATTTGTTATAAGAGAGTCCCTGAATATTGCCCGATAAATCCGACTATGGGAAAAAGAGTCCCTGAATGTTATTAAAGAAGTTAATTTCTTCATGAAATCTACATCATATATATATATAATATTCAAGGACTCTCTTTCCCATAGTCTGATTTATCGGGCAATATTCAGGGACTCTCTTATAACAAACAAATTGCAATATATATATATATATATATATATATATCGAGAGAGAGAGAGAGAGAGAGAGTCAATATACTATAAATAGACTTGATTATCTCTTACTTCATGTGTAGTTTGGTTTTAGTTTCCACATAATCTCCAGCCTTTCCCTGAATCTTTCCTTCTCGTACCAGTCTCAATAGAGGCATCAACACATCCCTAACCTCTGTCATCTATACAAACAGAATATACAGAGGTCAAATATCTCTTACCTCCATCTATACACACAGAATATACAGAGGTCAAAATATCCCTTACCTCCATCTATACACACAGAATATACAGAGGTCAAAATATCCCTTACCTCCATCTATACACACAGAATATACAGAGGTCAAAATATCCCTTACCTCCATCTATACACACAGAATATACAGAGGTCAAAATATCCCTTACCTCCATCTATACACACAGAATATACAGAGGTCAAATATCTCTTACCTCTGTCATCAGTACACACACAATATACAGAGGTCAAAATACCCCTTACCTCTGTCATCTATACACACAGAATATACAGAGGTCAAAATATCCCTTACCTCTGTCATCTATACACACAGAATATACAGAGGTCAAATATCCCTTACCTCTGTCATCTATACACACAGAATATACAGAGGTCAAAATATCCCTTACCTCTGTCATCTATACACACAGAATATACAGAGGTCAAAATATCCCTTACCTCTGTCATCTATACACACAGAATATACAGAGGTCAAAATATCCCTTACCTCCATCTATACACACAGAATATACAGAGGTCAAAATATCCCTTACCTCCATCTATACACACAGAATATACAGAGGTCAAAATATCCCTTACCTCCATCTATACACACAGAATATACAGAGGTCAAATATCTCTTACCTCTGTCATCTGTACACACACAATATACAGAGGTCAAAATACCCCTTACCTCTGTCATCTATACACACAGAATATACAGAGGTCAAAATATCCCTTACCTCTGTCATCTATACACACAGAATATACAGAGGTCAAAATATCCCTTACCTCCATCTATACACACAGAATATACAGAGGTCAAAATATCCCTTACCTCCATCTATACACACAGAATATACAGAGGTCAAAATATCCCTTACCTCCATCTATACACACAGAATATACAGAGGTCAAATATCTCTTACCTCTGTCATCTGTACACACACAATATACAGAGGTCAAAATACCCCTTACCTCTGTCATCTATACACACAGAATATACAGAGGTCAAAATATCCCTTACCTCTGTCATCTATACACACAGAATATACAGAGGTCAAAATATCCCTTACCTCCATCTATACACACAGAATATACAGAGGTCAAAATATCCCTTACCTGTCATCTATACACACAGAATATACAGAGGTCAAAATATCCCTTACCTCTGTCATCTATACACACAGAATATACAGAGGTCAAAATATCCCTTACCTCCATCTATACACACAGAATATACAGAGGTCAAAATATCCCTTACCTCCATCTATACACACAGAATATACAGAGGTCAAAATATCCCTTACCTCCATCTATACACACAGAATATACAGAGGTCAAATATCTCTTACCTCGGTCATAATTGACAACACAATATACATAGGTCAAAATACCCCTTACCTCTGTCATCTATACACACAGAATATACAGAGGTCAAAATATCCCTTACCTCTGTCATCTATACACACAGAATATACAGAGGTCAAAATATCCCTTACCTCTGTCATCTATACACACAGAATATACAGAGGTCAAAATATCCCTTACCTCCATCTATACACACAGAATATACAGAGGTCAAAATATCCCTTACCTCTGTCATCTATACACACACAATATACAGAGGTCAAAATATCCCTTACCTCTGTCATCTATACACACAGAATATACAGAGGTCAAAATATCCCTTACCTCTGTCATCTATACACACAGAATATACAGAGGTCAAAATATCCCTTACCTCTGTCATCTATACACACAGAATATACAGAGGTCAAAATATCCCTTACCTCTGTCATCTATACACACACAATATACAGAGGTCAAAATACCCCTTACCTCTGTCATCTATACACACAGAATATACAGAGGTCAAAATATCCCTTACCTCTGTCATCTATACACACAGAATATACAGAGGTCAAAATATCCCTTACCTCTGTCATCTATACACACAGAATATACAGAGGTCAAAATATCCCTTACCTCCATCTATACACACAGAATATACAGAGGTCAAATATCCCTTACCTCTGTCATCTATACACACAGAATATACAGAGGTCAAAATATCCCTTACCTCTGTCATCTATACACACAGAATATACAGAGGTCAAAATATCCCTTACCTCTGTCATCTATACACACAGAATATACAGAGGTCAAAATATCCCTTACCTCTGTCATCTATACACACAGAATATACAGAGGTCAAAATATCCCTTACCTCTGTCATCTATACACACAGAATATACAGAGGTCAAAATATCCCTTACCTCTGTCATCTATACACACAGAATATACAGAGGTCAAAATATCCCTTACCTCTGTCATCTATACACACAGAATATACAGAGGTCAAAATATCCCTTACCTCCATCTATACACACAGAATATACAGAGGTCAAAATATCCCTTACCTCCATCTATACACACAGAATATACAGAGGTCAAAATATCCCTTACCTCTGTCATCTATACACACAGAATATACAGAGGTCAAAATATCCCTTACCTCTGTCATCTATACACACAGAATATACAGAGGTCAAAATATCCCTTACCTCTGTCATCTATACACACAGAATATACAGAGGTCAAAATATCCCTTACCTCCATCTATACACACAGAATATACAGAGGTCAAAATATCCCTTACCTCCATCTATACACACAGAATATACAGAGGTCAAAATATCCCTTACCTCCATCTATACACACAGAATATACAGAGGTCAAATATCTCTTACCTCTGTCATCTGTACACACACAATATACAGAGGTCAAAATACCCCTTACCTCTGTCATCTATACACACAGAATATACAGAGGTCAAAATATCCCTTACCTCTGTCATCTATACACACAGAATATACAGAGGTCAAAATATCCCTTACCTCTGTCATCTATACACACAGAATATACAGAGGTCAAAATATCCCTTACCTCTGTCATCTATACACACAGAATATACAGAGGTCAAAATATCCCTTACCTCTGTCATCTATACACACAGAATATACAGAGGTCAAAATATCCCTTACCTCTGTCATCTATACACACAGAATATACAGAGGTCAAATATCCCTTACCTCTGTCATCTATACACACAGAATATACAGAGGTCAAAATATCCCTTCCCTGTCATCTATACACACAGAATATACAGAGGTCAAAATATCCCTTACCTCTGTCATCTATACACACAGAATATACAGAGGTCAAAAACATTATACATGATTTAATGTTTTTAATTTGGTTTGATTTGTTATTAAATATTCCAGTGTAATGAACCGACACTTCAACAACAACAGGTAACTTCATCCTTAACTTCTGTAACAATGTCTCCACACTAACTCACTACCAACATGAGCAGAATGCCTTTAGATAATACAACATAGGATATGCTGAGTGGCCATTAATACATACCTTGGACTTGTAATCATCTATCAAAGTCAGCAGTTCTGGTGATTCCTTCTTCAAAAGCTACAAAACCCAAGGAATTTTATAAATATTTATGTTTATATAAAAACAAACAAAAATGCTCCGCACAAACAAGAGGCTCCCAGGGCCTTAACAGTCACCGGAGTCACAATGTTTCTTTTAACATGTTAAAGAAGTAATTTTTTGAAAAAAAGTAATATAACGTTGACTATATTGTACATATAATGCAAATGTAAATTATGTATACATTAACTGCTGTCCCATCTTAAGGCTTCTAACCAATTCTGAATTAAAAGAAATTAGTCATGATTTGAATTTCTCTCATAAAATCTTTCATCCAGGAACAGCTGTACCTGTGATGTATACATCATATATCTGTGATGGTTACATCATGTACCTGTGATGTTTATATCATGTACCTGTGATGTTTATATCAATTATCTGTGATGGTTACATCATGTACCTGTGATGTTTATATCATGTACCTGTGATGTTTATATCAATTATCTGTGATGGTTACATCATATATCTGTGATGTTTATATCATGTACCTGTGATGTTTATATCATGTACCTGTGATGGTTACATCATGTACCTGTGATGTTTATATCGTGTACCTGTGATGTTTATATCAATTATCTGTAATGTTTACATCATGTACCTGTAATGTTTACATCATGCACCTGTGAGGGCTGTGATGTTTATATCAATTATCTGTAATGTTTACATCATGTACCTGTAATGTTTACATCATGCACCTGTAAGGGCTGTGATGTTTATATCAATTATCTGTAATGTTTACATCATGTACCTGTAATGTTTACATCATGTACCTGTGATGTTTATATCATGTACCTGTGATGTCTATATCATGTACCTGTGATGTTTATATCATGTACCTGTGATGTTTATATCATGTACCTGTGATGTTTACATCATGTACCTGTGATGTTTATATCGTGTACCTGTGATGTTTATATCAATTATCTGTAATGTTTACATCATGTACCTGTAATGTTTACATCATGCACCTGTGAGGGCTGTGATGTTTATATCAATTATCTGTAATGTTTACATCATGTACCTGTAATGTTTACATCATGCACCTGTGAGGGCTGTGATGTTTATATCAATTATCTGTAATGTTTACATCATGTACCTGTAATGTTTACATCATGCACCTGTGATGTTTATATCGTGTACCTGTGATGTTTATATCAATTATCTGTAATGTTTACATCATGTACCTGTAATGTATACATCATATACCTGTGATGTGTATATCATGTACCTTTATATCATGTTAATGTAATGTATACATCATGTACCTGTAACTTCTCTTTCTTTGACAGTTTAGATAAATCCTTTGTAATCTTTTCCTCTTCAGCTTCCACAACTTTCTTTTCCTGTAGTAAGTATAACAACAACATGGTAACATACAATAGATTGCTTGAACTAAAGATTTAGCTATCTCTGCCCTTCATAAATATAGGATATTACACAAATTCTCAATTTCATGGGAGATTACCTGCTAATGTAATGAATCAAAAGAGGTTTTCTTTTCACAGTACCTATCAAGATAAGCCCAAAAACAGACAGCTCAAAAAAAAAACTTTATATACTTTACAATTTCACAACAAGTTTTTCAAACTTATATTAATCACTCTTGGCCCAGATGAAAGTGCTTGTGAAGTCAAGGAACCAAACCCTTACCATATAATGCTCAATTCTTTGGAAAAGCAGACAATATGATGATAACATGTGGGTACCATATCAAGCGGGCCCTAACTATGGTGATAATTTTCATAGACATGAGGGACTGTCGAATGACTTGTCAAAACAACCCTCTGTCACTGTGTTCACTCTACATATGTACCTTGAACATTAAAGTTCTGTTATACTGAGTTCATCCTATAAATGTACCTTGAACATGTCCAGTCCAAAGTCCTGATCATCCAGTTCAGCATTGATACGTTTTTGTAGTGCTAATGCCTCTTTCTCCTCCAAAGCTGCAGCGCCTTCTTCATCTTCAGATCCAGAAAGGTCTATAAAACCAGACTTCAGATTTAGTATGGAAATATTGAACTGTTAACAACCGATTAATTTGAAAAATCTTTGCTAATAAAAAACAAAGAACTGTGTGAAGCAGTATTTAATAAATCGATGCTTTGAATTGAAGCATTATCTAACTTCAAACTTTTTCCTGATTTTTAAAGACTCATATGGAAAGTCAAAAGTGAAAACTGACCATTAACAAAACTGACAATTAACAAAACTGACAATTAACAAAACAAATGTGGAAATCTGACTGAACTATCAGATGATGAATATTTGTAACTCCAGAGACAGTACATTTCAATTATATTTATAACATTTCACCTATTTAGATACTACATCAACATGACATTTGTTCCATGAACTTTGACCTTTGATCCTTATCAATCATCATATTTAAAGTGGTAACCTACCAACATCATCATCACTAAAATCAGCATTGTAGTAATCAGACACCTTTTTGCCGTAAGTTGTGTGATCTGGCTCCCCTGTAAGAAGTAAAGATTCAACATAAGTAAGTCCTTAACCTGAAAATTTCATTGTAAGTACTGGATGAATATTTATAAAATATTTCACTCTTAAGTGAACATAACAAAGATTTGTCAACAACACCGGAGAACATACAGCTCACATATGTATGATAAATTTCGGGCAAATAGAAATTTACCCCTATTTCTGACAATTACCAGGTATATTAATCCTTCAACTACTTAATTATCAAATGGGCAGAGCCATTAGTGAATTAATATTGCTTGTAAACACTCATTAAAGAACTTTTATCAAATTTTAAGGTCGGACGCCACCATCGCTGGGTTGACTACATCAGCTCTCCTAATCTTTGAACTGGTGAGCTAAGGATGTTATGAAGATTCTTTTAAGAATTAACCAAAAATTTATCAAAAGGAAAAACCAACAGTAAACTGTGTTTAACGTTCCTGACTACAAATTATTGAACTTGTTCCTACAACATACCTTCTTCATCCTGATCTTCCAGGTCACTTCCCATATCACTCTTCTTCCTGTTCAGCTTCATCCTTCGCAACTGTTTCTTGTAAACTTTGAGGTCATCGTCACTGAGAAGGTCATCGTCACTGTCTCCACCAACACCCAGAACTTCATCCTGTGAAACAGTAAATAAAACATACACAACAAATTGACAAAAATAGCAGCAACCTAGATATCAAAGTTTAAATGATCTCTGTTACTTTACAAATTGTATGTACAATATACAGGGACTTCTAAACCAGCACTTGTTCCATACCTGTTTTTCCCACAGCTACAATCGGACAAAGAAATGTGTAGCTAATCCCAAAAACAAGACTTTACAAAGCCAAAAGTTTTTTGTGAGTATGGACTTTTTTAAAAAGTCAAACAGAGATTAAAGTAAAATGTACATGTATCATTAATTTGATCTCTTTTTATGTTTTCAATACTACTTTTTGTTGACCTAACAGAAAATCAATTTGCTTTCTCTACCTCTTAAAAATCACCTCTTCATTTAATTGTAATCAAGATTAAGTCTGGTAAATATGGAGGCTGTCATTGTCTCATCATCATGTCTGTTTGTTTAGGATGCTTTGCATGCTTTTTACAGTGTATAAAAGTCATCAACCAGCTTGAATTGATTTGAAAGTTTGAAAGATTTTGAAGTGAAAATAAAACTCCATCACATTACACTATCATTGATGATTCCATAATGTCACATTGCTAACCATTTCCTCTGTATCCATAATTAGTATCTCAGCACTTTGTTGACATTCATATTGAAAAAAAAATATACATTACATATTGATGAATCTTTACCATTTGATAGCTCTCAAAATTGCAACAATGTGCATTTGCAAAATATAAGCAACCAAGAGAATAAAAAGACTTTTGTAACGATGATGGTTTATCATCTACATGACTCTGTCTGTATATATATATACCCACAATTTTCACTCAATACATGTGGCAATGGCATTCATATCAAGGATGAATCCCACAGTTATCAGGCTATCTGAGGATGATATGTAGAATATACTTATAATATTACTCCACTGATAGTACCTCACTCTCTGAGTACATGTCATCATCATCATTCTGCACTCCTTGGTCCAGTAACATCTGCAAAACAAACAGCAGTGAGCACATATTCTGTAAGTATGTTTTAGATAGGTTGAGGATAGGTTTGCTACTTTTTAAAAACTAATGAAGTAAAAATTTTAATGTCTTCAACAAATTTAGTGATTTAATTTCCATCTCTAGGAAGTGTTCATATTTCAAAGACAAATATTCATGAACATCATAGTTCAGTTGTTACATACCAAAAGCCTTTTGATCTCATTATACTACCACATTTCAAATCAAGATTTCAGAATGAGTGTAAGCTAAATATTGTTTATTGATTTAATGACATTACAACATTGTTAAGAAAGCCAGCAACTGAGGAATAGCGACATATATCGACCACAGTTTGAGCTCGGAGTATTTCAGATGATAAGTTGTCCTTCACATTCTCCATCCTTTTTCCATCAACTTTGTAACATTAACTCAAAATCATAGCTTAGAACAACATATAGCTACCTTTTCTCTTTGCAAGTGGAAATTATCAACATCATCATAGAAGTAGTCATCTTCTTCCTGGTCTGGCTCTGGTTCATTTTCATATCGGCGCTCATCATCAGACCCATACACCAGTGCTGCCACCTGTACCCTCCCTTTACCTCTGAAACAAACATGGAATCCAGCATTTCATTGGCAGCAAACAAAGCGTGAATTAAAATCAGAGAATTCTAATGCTTAAGTCAAAATTAACAGACATTGATCAAGTGAACCTGTAATCAAGCTAGTTTGTATATCAAGACATAATCATTTCATGAGTGGTAGGCGTTGGCAAACAAATTGGAACATGATATCTCAATGCAGCATAATTTTGTAGAGTCACAGATAACACGAGACGCCCCGACTTTTCATATCCTTTAAAGGAAGATCTTTTGAAACCATTTTTTCAACATTCTTCCCTGAATAACACAAGACTTTATCAGTTTATATAGTAATAATTCATGTACGTATCATGTATGTAATTGCTATGGTGTAACCTTGCCAAAGTTAGTTTATCAGGTTGAGCACACTCTGGTATATACATGTACATACACATAACGGTCCTGCATTTGTGTGAAATCTACTGATGTGAGTAATACATACAAGAACTAGACGACTGATTTTTTTTACTTTTTCTGTAAAAATACACTGCTGAAATGTTTATCGAGTCTTGTTAACATCATTTCAAATTATCCAGTATTTGAGTGACAAGTTTATTACTCAAAAGCAGTAACTGTCACTAAAATTCAGGACCATTACACATACACAAACTTCTACCCAACTTGTTAATTATGGGTCCATTAACAGCCCATGAAATATATTGCAAGTCACGTCCACAAATGGCGATTGCCTCCCCTTATAAGAAATGTGATGTATAGCACTGAACTGTTTCAAATGCTTCACAGCTTTATCTTATCCAATTGACAAGCATACAGCTCTTGAATGGAAACTGTAAGGAGTACAACTCTTAAAGCTTTTGACCATGATTTTTCATAATGCAATATTTAAGACTAAACCACAAAAGCTGGCCTCATCCCCTTTAGCTCAGTCTGGTGAATATGTATATTCATGAATGTGAAACGAGGTCATTTGACATGTGACATCAAAGTTTAACTTTACCTAAAAAGAGACTACAACACATGTCACGGCTTTATTCATTTACAAATGTTCCAAATTTTGTAGGGAAGCAACAGTTGGACAAGACTATATGCACTTACATGAATGACCTCGTCGGAGATGATTCATATACTATATCTAAAATAACTAGTTCATTGTTACTTTAATCTGGCATGAAATTGGGTAAATGTCATAAAAGTGCCATGTTTGATTGTTACACAACATCCATTATTGTGTCTCAGCATTCTGTATGGCTATGGGATACACATTTATTAACAACACCTCAGAATCAAACTGACGACCAATCAAATAAAATCAAATATCTTAGGAACATAACTAAATCATATTGATATCCTCAGTCATCAGTTAAGTGATACATTTCAAAATCAGATCAAGCTCATTATCATTTTTTTTTTTTTTTCGTCATAACTGAAAGTGATCAGAAAACTATAGAGCCATCTTTGTTCAAATGTACTAAAACAGACGACAGTGACACTGAATGAAGTCTATAATTTGTGGTACTGTTTACTTTCTTGTATGTGATCAACTAAATGTGTTAAATGGTATTTTTGTCTTTTATGAACTTGTTATAATCCCAATATTTATACAAAATTTGACTGAAGTCGGACGAGGGACATTGTCAAACGCCCAAAAGAGATTACAGTTGGATAACCGTGATCCAGACCTGCTATACAACGAATACTCAGCGTAATGTACATTAAATATTGTAAAAGATATCATTTATATGGTCAAATCCTTCTGTATAAGACACATGCCTAAATGATATATCAGTTTTGATAGCACGGCAAAAGTAATTTTATTTTTCATGTACAATTACAACCATAGCCGTGACTTAGATGAAAAATTAGTTGCTGAACGTGCACGTGGAAGTCGGTGTATTACGACGATTTCTGCGCTAAAAATTCATTTAAATGACTGACGAAGACTATCATGATTGTGTCACTTATTCTTTCGCTATCATACTTACTTTTTAGGCATATTGCTCCTGAGAAATCAGTTAGCAGAAATTGGTGTTTATTTCACACCGAAACCACGTTGTGTAGAATCGGATTGCCTCGCTCTTTTAGCATGGAGACATGATATTCACAGATGTGCATCGAAAGGGTTCTATGTAGGTAGCACACCACTAAAATATGAACAGACACGGAGGAAGTACAGAAAAGCAATTCATTATTTAGTGACTTAATTTCTCACAGAATTTTATCAAACATTATTAAAAGTTCAGCTATTACAAAATATCGCATTCGTTCAATGTTCGATATTGTCTCTTTTCCGGATTTGGTTTGTTTTGTAATTTGTATACTCAAAGGGTGACTGACGCTAATTGAGATGCTAATAGCCAATGACTAGCTATATATAGGTGTACCCCCTACAAGAAATAAGAAGAAAAAAGAAATAAGGGTGGTTTAGCAAATACTTTGCGTTTAGGATGATCTGGCAAATAATTTGTTGTGTGAAAATTATTTTTTTGCAACGTATTTGCGTAAAGACAGCTTTAATTTCGGACCACATATTGATAATTAAATGAGGATTAATATGAGAAAGCGTTGATAATTAATCTTTTAGGTCATCATGTGGTGATTTATTCGATTGCAGGTTTTCAAGTGCACCAAACCTTTTTTTTTATTTTGATTTTTTTTTTTTGTTGTTGTTTTTGTTTTTTTACATTTCATTTATTATTATTATTTAAATGTTTCTACAAATAATAATCTGTATACTTTCTGCTTTGTTTGTGGTATATGCATTGTGGAAAATCTTAAATGATTTTGCACTTGATTTGATTGCATGTCACATACATTACATATTTCAAAAATAAAATAAAAGTTATGTAGCCAAATTTCAATGCTCTTTCAATCTTGCTCGCTGCTAGAAATGACTTTTAGTCAATTATATATGTCTAATCCGTACATTGAAGACATAAAGCTACCTGAAGCTGAGTACGGTATGAATACCTTACAAATATTGTATGATAATTAACGGTTTATGATAATCGCTAACAAGCATATATCATCTGAAATAGTTAGTTTTAGCAGGACATTCAAATTCATGAAGTGAACCTTTTCGAAAATATTGAATGATTGATTTTTTGCATATGAAAATATAAATATTTAACTACAATTTAAAGGCTGCAATATTTAATTTGTAGTATTATCTATTACTCAACGTGCCAGGTTTTTGCTGCTGTGTGTCTCTTTCGAATGCACCCCTTTTTCAATTACCTCCCTTATAAACATGGCTGCCTCCATTACACGGTGCAGCTCTGTACCCAGCATTTCAAAATTCGTCAACCGACTAGTTTTCTTAAGTGGAAATGGCGCACAGAAAAGGTGTTTTTCAGCTGAACAAAACGCTACAGCCTTCACAGAAGACAGTTCAACAGAGAACTCCTCGATCGAAGACTTAGCGTTGAAGGACGAACTGACCCGCCTTAGAGACGTATCTCGACTAAGCCCGAGATTGAAACAACAACTTAGGAAAGAACGCCCCGATATCGACAAGGCATATAAACTTACCAAAAATTATAGCAGAAGATTATATGGTCAAATGGGAAGTGCCTCTGGCATAAATCCTCAAATTTTGTGGCCTACGGTAGAGGAACTAAGGAGCAAAATAGAATTTGAGAAGCAATTCGAACCAAGTTTCAAGGCAAAAATGAAGAAAGTGAAGAAATGGGAAAATAAGCGGGTGACAAAACTAGAGAAAAGGTTGGTAAATTACAGTGACAGGGACTTTAACCACTTCAAGTTGCATAATTTCCGTACCTCAGTTCATGAGTTGCTCTGGACGACATGCAACGGGTATCCCGTATTTATCCTGCAACTGGCAGTGCCATTGTCGGAATACACCTGCCACATATAGTTTTACTGTATTCGGCAGTGACAGAAAACAGCTGTATTTTAGCGTGTTTGTTAATTCGACAGAATTACTTTATGGATTTACTTTAAAATTACGTATAATGATATGAATAAGTGTTGAACTAAGTTATTTTATATGTTGTAATGAATAAGTTTATTTACAAAAATTCATAAAATCGCACTCATATCCCATGAAGTTTAGAACTACATTTCTATATAGAGCAATAATTTGGTGTACATCATGAGGCAAACTTCAACGTCAACGACAGATATACAAAGCTTGAACAACAAAAGTACTTAAGTTTTCATTGCATAATTTTCAGTTAGTATTGCAGGAAATAGAATACATTATCAGTGTCTTAAAAAGAAGCTGTATTTTAGCTCTTGACAGAAAGACAAAAGTGACTTTTCTCTTCTGTCTTTTTTCATCCTCGCAAAAATATGGCTGCTATTTTAAGACACTGACTATGTATTCCATATGTATGTTGTCAGTTGAGGTATGTAGTCACCAACTAATACATCTTCAATGAGACATGCCTCAAATTGACTTTACGCAATAAACACAGCAAACAGGTAAGACTGTGTTTAAAAGTTTCTCCTGTGCATGAATTCATTTATACATATTTCATGTGTTTATTTTTAATGCTTGCTTTCTATTGTCTACAGAAAGGCGAAAGTGGATAAGGCCATGGCTGAAATGCCAAAACTCATACAGCAATATTATTCAAAGATAGAGACTGCAGAGAATCAGGTCAAAGCAGAACAAGAAAAACTTGCTCAGTTGAATCGGGAGGCTACAGAGATATATGGTCCCATGAAGAGGTCAGATAGTCGCCTCAAAGAATATGTTTCTAAAAGACTTAGGGAGGAAAGAATTGCAGAGAGACAAGCAAAGGCAGATAAAAGGAAATCAAAGAAACAAAAAGCAGAAACTGAAGAAAAAACTGGTGATAAAATTACTGCAGAAGTAAAACTGAAACAGTGAAAGTAACAGAGAAAATTGTTGCGTTTGAGATGACACAAAAGTGATTGTCTTGTGATTTCTGTATGTATGAGTGTGTGGAATCTGTAAGCTAGAAGTTCTCCAGATACATTAATAAAAATTTACTGTGTAAAAGAAGGCAGATGTTTTGGCTTGTACATAGTATTATATTCATTTGTATATACATATGGTGCAAGTGTTTCTCACTTGACTGGTGGAACATGCTTACCTGATCAGTAGAACAAGATTGTTGCCTCTTAACCATTTTGTTTTCTTGATTAATTACATAATCAAAAGGGCTCACTTATCAATTATCAAACTTAAAATTGAATGGCAAAACTAGAAACAGAGAGGAACTTGCATAAACAAAATCTGAGGAATATCCCACCATTAAGAAATAGCCACAACAAACTTCAACTGTCAAAATTCAAGTTGATCGCCTGTTGGACATTATATTTCACAGGTCAGACTCCAATTCAGAAAACTAAGGATAGAGAGGATCCTACATATGAAGCTTGAGAAATGGGCCACCAGTGATTCTCAAGAAATAGGGATATAAATTATTGTTAACAGATTGACAAAGAGCAGTTTGGTTAGCCACTACCTAATGATGGTTGGCTAAAAAACCATCAATTATTTTCAGAGAAATAGTGGAAACAAATGTTCAACTCTTTAAAATTGTTACCTATCTGCCTTTTTGTTTATGAAACTCAATTGAAAAATTAGCCAAGAAAAGCTAGAAACAAAACATATGAAGTCCTATGATGATTCATATTTTTCTCAGAAACAGTTTCACTGTTCAATCAAAAAATTAAAAGGACACAACTAAGAACTAAGGAAAACCTACAAGTGAAATTGGGAAAAGATCCATCCAGTCCTTTTCACAAAACAGCAATAATGAACATTCATAGTCAAAATCCAAAATGGCCTCCCGTCAGCCATTTTGTTTCTCTACCCAGTACCAAAAGTAGAAGGGTAAAATATTTAAGAGAATTTTCTTCAGATTGGTAATGTCAGAAGAATATCTTCTACTAGTTTCTTTTATTTACGTTTTAATAGGAATAATATTTAGTTTGGTGCTGAAAAACATTACAATCAAAGCTTATAATTAAGTTCTTAAATGCGTTTCAAAAACAAATAAAACACATAAATGCATAAATTTTATAATTCATTTGATTATTTTATAACCAATCACTATGTATGACATCATTGACAGCTCGTTCGTGCCATTTTCAGTCAATCAAAATTCATTCATTGGTGGGCCCATCACATGCCAAACCAAATTTGTAAGAATATAAAATTTTTCGACTTACAAATCTGTCATTAATTTGTTGTCTCTTGTTTTTGTACATTGTAAGATATTTGAACAATTTTATGATGTTGTAGTACGTTTCTTCTTTACATCATTGAATGACAGCGATCCACACACCATCGCCAGAAGATGCCTCTGACTCCTCCAATCAGTATCAATAGGGCAAAGCTTAGGGCACAACTAGGGAACCAAGGGACTAAAAGATAAAATTTTGGATTTTGACAATGAAGAATGTAGGACATCCTTGACCCCAATGGGCTGTCAAGCTTATTGCTGTACCATTAGTAAAGTTCACAAAACCTGATGTGGATGGAAACTCAGAATGTTGCTTGTTTCATATATCTCTGCTTTATTATAATATAGTTATTTAAAATCCTGTATGAAAGATATCATCAAAAAAAAATCATTTGCAGAGATATTTTAGAAGTGAACTTCTTGGTTATCATACTTCTAATATTTTCTAAGGAAAAGCACATGCTATTGATAAATGCTTCTCCGTGTAGATATATAGTTTAAGTAGACTGTGAAAATTGGAACAGAAAATACAAGTGTTCCTGGTAGAAGAAATCCCAAATTAACATTGAAGTTAAAAATTAACAAAATAACAGCACAATTGATTACTTTACGGGATAAGTTGCTATTTCAGAAGTTCTGAATATATATAATTTCATTTATGTCTATGATCAATATACCTTCAAAAGTGCTTTGCTAGCTCATTAAAAAGAAATACATATGTTCATCATGATTTTTTTTGCCTAAGAAACTAACTTTTTTCCTTAAGCAATGATGAGAGACAGATCCCAATGAACAAAGTAATATAATACCTTTATATTTGCTTTTCATTTGCATTAAACATGTCTGTTCAAGTTCGTTTTTTATTAAATCCAAATATAATCCAGCATATTGATATATAATGATACAAATTGTAGAATACATATGTCAAGGACAACAAGGAGGAGGTCAATTTCTGTTTATACAGTAAAATCCTTATTATTTGTAAGCACCTTTTCTATTTTTCAATTTAATAAATGTTACACGTAGGTGCGGACGTGCATGATGGTCAGAGGGGATTGATGGCCACACCATGTGATGTTAATTAACATTAATTGGTTCATTTTACTGTAATATATGTAATTCACCACGATAAACAGCTAGATGGTCAGATGTTACCTGTATTACAGTTAAGATTGAGATTCTTAACGGAGGCTCACCGTTTGGGTTTGCTTAATAATGATCACATAAAAACCCACTCTTTAAGTCGGTTATGTAAGAGGAAATTAATCATAAAAGAATATTTCTTAATAAAGCACTACATTATAAAATTCACCGATCACTTTTCAGGTCGAAATATTTTATAGCAACCGTCTACCAATAAATAAAATACTTCTGACCATTTAAACCTTTTACTGGTCTCCGGAAGAAATTGTTGGCACCATTACTAAGATTTGACAACATTTACACCACAAATCTAGATTTGTATTTATATAAGTATCTATCAAATATAGGTCTACATGATATGTCCTTTGTCTAAGTCTATGTTCTCACTTAAAAGTTTTATCATTCAATATCAACAAGCACACTTCTTTTCAGTTGGATTGAAAATTTTGAAGTATCCTTCAGATGATATAATAATGGACATCTTGTGATTGACATCATATAATGTACATGTTATTAACATGGTTTTAAACACTAAATATTATTATTGATAATTATGGGTATCTGCATATTACTTCGCAATCTGAACAATACTTTAGTGTTATGACTGTTTAAATCCATCTTAGTAATTTTTTATTCATAAATAATTCATTACAAAATGAGTAATTTATCAAATATAATTTTAGAGAATATTAATGTTGGGACGTATAATACTATATGATCTTAGACCTTGTTTTGAACCGAACAGTGTATGTAAGGTAAGCTCTGATTGGTCCAATTCCTGATGCAATCCCCGTTTTTACAATGAGAATTTGTTTTACAATGATTTGGCTAAGCAGAGTCACGTGACCAAGCCTCAATGTAGAAAAAGTGACAGGATACATAAGAGGTACTGACAGAGTGAAACAAAGGGCAGTAACTCTGGGAGAATTACAATGTGATGGTGGGCTAAAAAACCTCAGGGGATCATAATATGCTCATGTCACGCTGGTGACCTGATGTCAAAATTTGTATTTATCAAATGTCACTATTTCTGGCAATATGACTCTTGTCTATCACATTATAGCTTCCTGTAATGTTACTCATTTGTAGTGTCACTGCTTCCTGTAATGTTACTCCTCCGTCAAATCAATGCTTCCTATAATATTACTCCTTTGTCAAGTCACTGCTTCCTGTTATGTTACTGGCCTGTAAAGTCACTGCTTCCTGAAAGTTTACTCCTTTGTCAAGTCACTGCTTCCTGTAATATTACTCCTTTGTCAAGTCACTGCTTCCTGTAATATTACTCCTTTGTCAAGTCACTGCTTCCTGTAATGTTACTCCTCTGTCAAATCAATGCTTCCTGTAATATTACTCCTCTGTCAATTCAATGCTTCCTGTAATGTTACTCGCCTATAACGTCAATGCTTCCTGTAATGTTACTCCTCTGTCAAATCAATGCTTCCTGTAATATTACTCCTCTGTCAAGTCAATGCTTCCTGTAATGTTACTCGCCTATAACGTCAATGCTTCCTGTAATGTTACTCGCCTATAACGTCAATGCTTCCTGTAATGTTACTCGCCTATAACGTCAATGCTTCCTGTAATGTTACTCGCCTATAACGTCAATGTTTCCTGTAATGTTACTCGCCTATAACGTCAATGCTTCCTGTAATGTTACTCGTCTATAACGTCAATGCTTCCTGTAATATTACTCTATTTTAGAACGCATTTTTGTCTGTAATGTAAGTAACACATTAATGAAACAGAAAACATAACAAAACATCATTTTTAAATAATTTTAATCATTTTTGACATTATTTTTTAATTGTTTCACTTAGTATTTTAAGTGTTTTTAATAAACTGACAAAAAGGATATAGCATTAAATGTTGACATCAGAAAAGCTTTTGAGTGGATATTATCCAAATTAAATAAGATACAAAAATATACTGCATATATATTTACACATTGTTGGAGAGATTGGGTTACAAACACTTCAACTCATTATAATAACTTTGGTTAGTTATATTGTCTGTAACCCCTTACAGATTAACATAGACCTGTCATAACATTCATATATAGACAAGCCTATCGTAAATTAAGGGCAAAAAGGTTAAAAATCAGTGATATGTTTAACAGATTAATAAGAAATTCAAACCAATGAAAAGCTGCCATCAATGCTTGGTTTTCTTATCTAACTGTGAAATTTAAACCTGAAAATCATGATGAATGGGTGTAGTTCGAGCTGTATATAAATTAGACCATCATATTTACAACATGTTAAACACATAAATATCAGCATTATGTTTTATGTATACATTTGCATATACAGTTATCAACAACATAACATGTTTGTAGTACACATGTCAATATCAGAATTTACATAGCTTTACTGTGCAAATTATCATACTTTGATTATGCCAATGTGATTCAACTGCAAGGTTTGGTTTGAAATTTAGTGCTTGGTTACTGTATAAAATAGCTTTGTCCCATGACCTCTATATACTTCTGTGATGTATTGTCATATCTAAACAATCCTCTAATTGGTCAAAATAGTTCTGATATTATTTTATTATCGACTTTTTTTAAACCTGTCAGAATAATTGATTTTAGACTGATATAAGAAGTCAAAAGAATGTCAAAATAACTCTAATTACAAATGTACAACTTTATATACATAACATACATGGTATCTTTGATATCCAAGATTTGTTCAATCTGAATAAGTCAAACGTCAGTGTGATAGGTTTAGTGTATCCAATGTAATCCCGAGGCTCATCAGGTTTGTAGTAAATGAACTTAAGTCAATGTAAGTAAATATATAGGTGTATCAGCAGATTTTCAGAGAAACCTACAAAGTACAGCTAGACCCATTGGTTTTTTAGTAAACCTGCAGTGTACAGATAAACCCACTGGTTTTTGGGTAAACCTACATTAAAGAGATATACATGCAGAGAAACCCACAGTTTTTCAGATAAACCTAGCGTACAGATAAACCAACAGGTTTTCAGATGAACCAAGTGTACAGATAAACCAACAGGTTTTCAGAAAAACCTAGTGTACAGAGAAACCAACAGGTTTTCTGATAAACCTTCAGCTTTTAGGTCAGACCTACTAAAGTTGTTCTGATATACATAATTCTTTTTACAAAAGCTATAGTAATAATGTGAATAGGAAAAAACCTCAGTATAAGATATTTTAATGGGCATTAAGAACAGAATACCTAGATGGTAATGATTCCTCTGTCTTGAAAGATCTTGCATAAAAAATCAATGAACATGAATTAAAAGTGGATTTCTGCCAGTTGTTTATACAATTTGTTTACAAGTACAAATATGGAAGCTAAACTGATACTGATATCTTGGTTTTCATTTCAAACTTCATCATATAATATACATTCTTTCCTAATATCTTAGATATATTAAATCATAGACAATGTGAAAAAACAAGTTCTCTCACATCAAGCTGTATATATTTATCTCAAATTTTACAAGCTTTACATGTTTAAACTGAGGTCAAGATTTACCTGTTTATCTGACTGAAACAAGCTTAATATGTTTATCTCATCTCAAGTCAAGGTTTACATCTTTGTCAGAATTCTGATAAAGCCTTAAATGCTTACCTAAACTTGAGTCAAACTTTATCTATTTATTTAAACTTGAGTCAAACTTTATCTATTTATTTAAATTTGAGTCAAGCTTTACAAGTTTATCTAAAAAAGAATAAAGTCTGATCTGTTTATCTAAACTCGAGTCAATAGATCAATCCTGTTATGTTTATATATTTTTGACTGCCCCACAAGGGGACAGCACTGTATCCTTTTGTAAACCAATCATTGCATCAAATTAACTGTCAATCATTCAATAAGTCTTCTTCCTCAAGCTTCTCCTCTTTAATACCATGCTATATATAGACCAGAATGATTTACCCTTCATACCTCCTCAGTGGCTATATAACTGCATCATTTTTTTTCCATTTTTCACATGCCTTTTGTTTTAAAACTTCATTCTATTCTCATTTACAAGACAAAAGATATCATTTTGATTTAGTGAGCTGCATCTATTTTCATAAATTAATGTTGATTAAGAAAAATTTAACAAGATATTCAATGTATCCCTTTTACTGATACACCTGCTCTTGTAAACACTGGGACCTATATCAAACATTAAGTTATGTAAAAAATTATAATTTTGTGTATCAGAATCTTTCAACTGATTGCTGTTTGTAAGCAATTAGTCCAGATATGTTCAACATAAACGACATCAGTCATAGAGGTGAATCAACTCATCAATTCTTCAATGGACGGCATTTAAAATACAACCTATGTATGAAAAATATGAACAAACAGATCATTCCTTTCTCATTCCTGGTACCACAAAATGTATATCATGTCATGTTATGGATTTCCTTCCTTAAAATTATGAAAATGTACATGCATAAACTTTATGAAAAATTCAGTTGTAAGTAATATTATACATTAATGTAATTAGATAGAAAATCTATTTTATTCATGCATAATAAGGTATGATATCACAGTCATTTGGCTGTTTGTTTCAAATGGATTTCCTTGCTTGAACTTCTTGTGGATACCAATAGACTCAAAATCGTTAATGGCACCTCTGCCCTATACATATTTCTAAAATTCAGCTTCAAAAATATACAAATACCTACATGTCAGCTGACCGTACACCCTTGGTGATGTGTACTGTAATAATACATGTTATAATTGTTTCCTTTTAAGTATTGATTATCAGAACTTGTCATTATTTAAAAAGTTTTTCGATAAAGCACAAGTCACATGGCAAGTCTTGTGACTCCAGTCACAATCAAATCTCATTATATATTGTTAATCTCTCTCTAGTAAGAACATCCGACTAGACAATCTCATTGGTTACTCCTCCAGGCCCTTCACAACAATGTCATCATGAGGCCAGGGTGGGCATCTTTCCTTTGTAACACTTTTGACTGTTTCTTTCAGCCCAATATAGATGCATGAACAATATGCATCTGTTGTCATGGAAACCATAGATCTACAAATTGGATATGTAAAAAATCCACTTTTTCCTAACAACCAACTGTTACATCATAGAAAATTCTGGCTTGGTTTCCCGGATATTGCTTCCAAGTTGCAAGATCAGTTAGTGTTACAAGATTCCCTGGTAACCATGCATGTATGCTCCAGCAATTCGGCCATGTTGTTCCCATCAAACAGTATAAACCCTTTCTATATTCATAGACACACTACTGCACTGCTTAATAATGGATACTGCATTATCATGGTGGATTTTGGTGAAATCATGGCCGTTTACCTGCAAGGAAGCAAAGTTAAATATATAAATCCACATCAAGTTGATCACTAACAATGATCTGTCTTTGAAAACAAACTCAAATGTCTATAAAGCTAAAGACGAACAAGAAATTTGCTTTTTTGCTTATTTTACTACTATTAGTATCCAAAATACCGGAAAATCTTATCAGCAGTAGTATGGTAGTAGTGCTAAAATTTAGGGGAGACATGATTGACACGAGAAAAAATAATTTCTGCATCTTTAATTTTCAGTACTAGAGAGAACTAGGATAAACATACCTCAAGGATCTTATCACCAGGGTTAAGTGACATAGCTGCGGGTCCTTCGGATTGAACTTTTGTCACAAAGATACCCTGTAACATCACAAGACATGGAAATGTCAGGAAAAATTAAAACAAAGTAATATCTAATGCAATTATCATCTCAGACATGCTCAGTGTGGCACCAAACTGATCAATCTTATTTTCTTATGGAAACAGGCTTTCTTCATATGTCCTTACAAATATTTCACACAATTTAGCAATATCTTGATTTATGTAAAAGCAAATAGCTAGGCTACTAACTGCTGTAAAGATTAATGTAGGTCTGGAAATATTGGAAGAAGTAGACCTTAAAACACAGCATACGAATGTTATTAACTTATCCTATTGGTTCCTAATTGAAACACATTTTCATCCTGAAAATCATAAAGTGTCACATGCTTCACACCATAAGTATCCACACAATGGTTACCATGCCAACAGTCCTACAGGAATTATACCAAATAAGGAAATGCTGAGACATGGCAATAAAGTGGCAGTGGGGGAATACCTAAAGGTGCTGGGATGTGGTTAGTCCAACTGGACAAATACCTAATAAGGAGGTACTGGGAAGTGGTAGTTAAGTCCCAGTGGAGGAATACCTAATAAGGAATATAGAGGTACTGGGAAGTGGCAGTTAAGTCCCAGTTGAGGAATACCTAATAAGGAATATGGAGGTACTGGGAAGTGGCAGTTAAGTCCCAGTGGGGAAATACCTAATAAGGAATATGGAGGTACTGGGAAGTGGCAGGTAAGTCCCAATGGAGGAAAACCTAATAAGGAATAAGGAGGTACTGGGACCTGGCAGTTAAGTCCCAGTGGGGAATACCTAATATGAATATGCTGGGATGTGGCTAGTTCCAGTGGAGGAATACCTAATAAGGAAAAAGGTAGTGGGATGTGCTGGTACCTGGTAACTACTACAAAAGGGAATATCTTATAAGGACAAGTTAATCAAGATGTGACTATACTTTACAGGTTCAGAACATGACCGCATGGCATACAAAAGCAGCTGTACATAAGCATGCAGTATCAGATATGGACAGTATATACACGACAACACATCAACAAGCAGAATATACAATTTATATCACAGCTATTTTCACTGCAAGTTGAATCTACAAATTCAACAACCAATATTTGTATATAAATTTATTGCCCCCCCCCCCCCCCCCAAAAAAATCCACATCACACACTTTCAAGCAATAAGTAACAAATCTCAAATCTTTAAAATTCTGAGGCAGAAAACTACACATTACTTTTGTGTATAATAATAATATAATAATAATATTATATTATTCTTAAAAATAAGGAACTTGAAAAAAAATAGAAATCATGAAATAAAAGTTGTACACATTATTACCAATAACAGTAATAATACTTTCTTCTGTTTGTAAGATATTTATACCAAGTAGATCAACTACTGGTGTCTATTTTTCAAATCCAATTACTGACAACAAACTCAACATCAGTTCATGTTAATAAATTTCAATTTCTTTTGAGAAGTCTGTTATTGAGACTGTTCTAGTTAATAGAAATTAATTTGTTATTTTCATATTCAATTTCAATTACCTGGTAACTATTATTTAAATTTTTTTTAATGTGATAGTTGGAATTTTTCAACACCTGACCATTTAAACATAAATTTATTAAAATGAGGATTTAACCACAGCAGTACAACACAAAGAGTGAGCTGGCTTTACAGGTAACATTAGGGTTAGGTCTGTACACAACACTAAGGGTGTGGTTAGGGAGTCACTGCACCCTTCTCCCAAGGGCTCACCACAGGACGCATTCCTGGGCTCCCACTTCAGTTCTACATATGTATCATCCACGGCTGCAGCTGTAATGTTTGATAGCTACAGGAAAGAAAGCATGGATACTCAAAGCAAAGCTTTCACCAAAATAACAAAGAGCATATCAATGCTTGCATGCATTCTTACAAATACAAAAACAAGATGGTGTTATCTCCCTTGATGTAGTCTTAATAATCTTAGCAATTATCTATAATTTATATATATACATATAATCTTAACTTATCCTGGATAATATTTCCTTTGATAGAAAAGATATATTGAATAAGTAAAGAGTGAATTTCTGTTCTAATCATTCAAGGAATGTTTTAAAGAATTTAAAAGTTAGTGTTAAGGGAAACTTTTTATTAAAACCACTAATCTATTCTTAGTTATTAGCATGGTGAAAAAAAAAAAATAGCTTACTGTCACGTAAAATATCAGCAAAAAAACACTTCTAATGATAAAATCTGGTTAGTAACTAAAGCAAGCATTAAGTATAAATGTATTATCACGCTACTGAACAAAATAAGCTATGAAAATGCACAGTTACACATGCAGCCCAATCAAATCAGTAGATTTATCATTAAACTCGTGTCATTTATATGCCACTGAGATACTAAGTCAAACTACATGTCTGATTGTAACAGGTCAGTAGAAAGAACTCATTTTTTTTGGTCGTTGCAATTCTTCAAAGAAATATATCTGTAACCAACGTTTACATAGATCAGGTGTGATTTGATTTAGTCAACGGTGAATTTTAACATAACACGATAGACATGTACAAGGAAATTTGCACCATATCAAATGTCACCTACCAATGACCTTGATTGTAGGACAAGGTCACAGAATTAAACACTCACTTTATCTCCTGCTCTGTAGGGGTTGCCATGGGCACCGTATCCTCCTGCGATACTGAACCCTAAGCCAGGATTCTTTTTTATTGTCACGCGGAACTGAAAATACAATATCCTCAAACAGATGTAAACTACTTGTGTACACATAGCTGTACATTAGTGTCAACATGATTTAAACAGCAAAACCAAACAGGTATCAGTACATCACTGTTATCTGTTATCCAAGTACAAGTGAAAACCAAACCAAGAATAATACCATAGGTTATGTGTTACAATACAGGACTGGTTGATTTTATCCTGCCAGCATGGAACACTTCTTCAAATGAAGCTGTGAAATGGTTGATAGTATAATTTCACTTTTCAAATTGAATTTTTTTTTAAATTTTTAAAAATTGTAAATTCAATTAAAGTTCACAACTAACTATGGGTAAATATTTTGTTACTTGAGTTCATGTATACTAGAAGAATTGTACTCAATGACGAGATTTAAATGATCTTTTTAAAAGACTATTGAAAGCTTCATTTGACAGGTGTCCCTGAGATATGTATATGACATGCGTTATGGTTAAGCTGATCACACTGCTATTGGTCTATGTTCTGTATAACAAAGCTCTACAGCAATCCTCACACATCTCACCTTATCTCCCTTCAAGTCATTCTGGATCATTTTGATTGGTGGGCGAGAATCGCGGGTCTGATCAGGAGTTGTTCCCCCTCCCCTTGGGGAAGACCTTACAGGTGTTGCATATGGGGTGTAAGGATACTGTTGTCCTGGTGATACAACTTGTCGGGGCTCCTGAGGATAACTGTAATCTGTAACAGACAAAAACAGAATATGTGTAACTTTGGAAACAACCACAAATAGGAAGGACAAATCTAAGATCTAATCAAGGAGGAATGGTTTATAACTGCTGTATTGGTCCCCGACCAGTAAAGAGGGTGTGAGGAAGAAGGGGATTGAGGGGAAGAGTGGATGGGGGCAGGGAGGGGCAATAAATGTTGTGTGCGTCCGTCGGTTGGTCTGTCCGAAACCTTTGGTGAAGGTTCAGATTCAGGTTTTTGACAGCTTACCATTTATTGAATTACTGTACATATAGGGATCTAACATTAATGTTGCAGTATGAAACTGGAACTGGTGTGGCAGGGATAGCTTCATACTGGTCAAAATCTTTAGCTTAAAGTTTTCAAATGGTTCCCCATTAATTTAGAGATATAAAGATTCTGACACTTTGTGATGAGAGTTTTAAGAGATCTTATGTGAATGCTGTAGACTCTAACTCTGAAAATCAATAAATTTGTTCAAAATATTTGAGCACCATCCTTACAAATGATTACAACATAAAAGTCTGTAGGGGCCGGAAAGGGACATGTCTTGCTTGAGGCTAGTAAGGGACATGTTTTGCTAGGGGTTGGTAAGCAACATGTTTTGTTTGGGGTTGGTAAGCGACATGTTTTGCTGGGGGTTGGTAAGGGACATGTCTTGCTGGGGGCCGGTTAGTGATACGTTTTGCTAGGGGCTGTTAAAGGACATGTCTTGCTGGGGGCTGGTTAGGGATACGTTTTGCTAGGGGCTGTTAAAGGACATGTCTTGCTGGGGGCTGGTTAGGGATATGTTTTGCTAGGGGTTGTTAAGAGACATGTTTTGCTTTAGCAATACTCATTATGTATGTTACGTTTGTAGTACAGTTTGGGAGTACAGTTGATCACATCACTAGACATTTACTTCTAACAATTCCTGTGCTTTTCACATCATAAATAGGTTTTACCTTCTTAAATTTGTAATGTATTTATAGTACAATCTACTTGTGCCTATTGAGGAATCTATTCAACCCACCTGAATATTTAGTTGGAGTGTCAGCCGTCTTGTCAAAATGCTGGCCATGGTAATACCCACTGTCTGAGGAACTTGATACTTGCGAGGTGGGCTCTGAATTACTGTTCTCAAAGGCATTACCATCCTCACAGTTTGACATGTTTGGAACGCGACCTTCACTGCTATCCCCAAACGACCCCTGATGCATATGATTATACAACCCTGAATGAGTGGTCTGGTCATACTTTTGGGGAGTGTCAAATGGAGAGTTTCTATGACTACTATGTTCTCTACTGCTATAGCCAGATTCTCGTGGAGATTCACGGTGTTCATCAAAAGAACCAGACACTGGAGTCCTGGATCTGTCTGGAGACACTGACAATGTCGACGGATCACTATTATAATTAAACTTATAATCGTCCTGTGATGTTCGAGAGTCGTTGTGTGAATCAGACAAACCATCAGAACCATTTCTGTCTGTGTAAAGAAATTCCTTTTCCAGTTGTCTGGATGGATTTCCTCGGCTGTAGTCCATGTTACCAGACATCCTGTTCGTGTCACCATACTTGTTAGACTCTGTCCTGTTCTCCATCTGTTCCTGGATTGTCATTCCTGAAAGTCTCTGGTGCATAGTGGGAGAGTTATTTCCCCTTCTATCATAATTTATGATGCCATATGGTGAATTCCTGTTAGGTGTAGGAGGGAGTTTTTTCTGTCCTGGAGATGAGAGGTATGGGGGTGCAGGTTTGTACGGAGGAGGCAAACCATTGCTTTGATTGGACTGAAATAGAAAGGGGACACTATTAATATTTACATCTTAAGAATCTTTCGTGATAGAAAATCTACATAACTGTTCATTAGCAATGTTGTCAGACCTGTTACATTATTTTGATTCCTTGTACTTACCGGAGATGAACGATTAGGATAGTCCCTCATGTTATTACTATTGTACATATCTCTTCTCTGGTCAGACACACGCACATCACCGTCATCATGACTGCCATTATCACTATTTGACCTTGACCTTTCAATGCTTCCTGGTGGGAAGCCCTGCGGAGGTTCAGCAGTTGTAGGAGTACTTTGGTCAACAATCTTACTTCTGTGAAACTGACTAGGTGAGGGAGGGGGTAACGTTCTATTTACACTGTGTGTGGGTGGGGGTAAAGATCGGTCCATGTTGTTAGAGGGATGGGAATATGATCGGTCCATATACAATTCAGATTTCCTTGTAGGTTTCTGACTTTCTGTGTAAGCATTACTACTTGTCATGTGCATACTGTCCAAGTACATATCACTACCCTTTATGCTTAAATGTGGATTTGAAGTTTTGTGTGGCATTTGATTTAACTGTCTCTGTGAATCATTAAGATCATAAGGAAGACTGTTTGCATTGTGCTGTTGATGTAGTGGCACTCCTCTATAAGCAATGTCTCTGGAGTCACCACCACGACCTTGGTAATATTCAATATCACTTGAGTATCCATCACGTCCTTTCCATCGAGCACTTCGAGACTCGCGTTCACTCTCATAACCACGACGTTCTTGCTGTTGTGCAAGAACCTGCTGTCTATGAAACCTTGCCACTTCTGTCTCACTACGATATCCTGTGTCGGAATCATAATCTCGCGTCCGATGTCGGCCGCCACGATGTTGGTTACTGTGATAACTTTTCTTATTACTATGGTAGGCTGGGTCCACTGATCGGCCAAACATACTGTATTGAGAAAATGATGCCTCTAAGTCTTTTGGGTTCACATAAGCAAATCCTGGCATCCCATGATTGCTATTTTGGTTAGAAGAGCTCCTTGCAGTCACTCCGATCGACTCCGTAGCTCGAGCCGATACACCTACACTTGACACACCCATAGCTGACACACCCACAGACTTGACCGCCAAATCGGGGTTGGAACTGTGATGAGACTGTTTAGATGAGTCTCTGGCAGAAAATCCTCCGTCATCTTCATCTTGTCTGTGTTTGCGGGGGGAGAATTTACCTGGAACAGCAGATGAATAGTATTAAAATGGATGTAATGATGTAATATTTACTGATATTACTCAATGACTGTGAAATGCAAATTCAGCCATGAATTCATGAATTTATGAAGCAATATTTAGTTGGACATGCCCTTCTGACACTGGTCATTGCTTTAATAAAAGAATTGAGTGCAGCCTTACCTCCTTTCTTTGGACTGTCTGGGCGGCTGATGGCTGATATGTTGTCACCTTTATGATTAGACTGGGAGAGGTCAAGGATAAATGTTTCTGGTGAACTGTGTCGGTTCTGCTGCATGCGAGCCTTGTCCTTGGCCAATTTCTCCTGTGTATAATAAACAGCAGTGAGTCAAATAAACAAACCACAAAAAGTCAAAGCCAATACAGGAATTCCCTACATAGAGTATCACATTTACTATAGAGAGTGAGTTGCTTAAGAAAGCAATTTTTGTATACTTGAATATAGAATGGTTTACCTGTATATAAACCCTAACCACATGTCGTTGTCGGTTTCTGATGATAAAGTGGTATACTGATTATAACAGTATGCTCTTCACTTTCTAGTTTCATTTTACTACCGGGGTGTATGAACTTGTAGGAAGACCAACTGGACAAATGCATGTGGAAAAAGTAAGGACTGGCTGAGGCAACACTTGAATGTGAAAGTTGGTTTAAAGAATATGGATTTGAAATAGAAAACGGATTAATAGGGGTGATGGTTGGATAAGGAGAAGATCTGAAGGTGTGCACAGAAAACTGGGAGATGGTTTAGAGGTTGAGATTAGAAGGATAGGTGGTGATAATGATAAGACCAGAAGGCAGCATCGCAGATTCTGAGAAAACTGGAACAGTGTGCAAGCAAGGGCCATTGATAAGACAATGGAGGCATGGTTGGAGTTTATGAGTGTAGTCAAATGGCAGGTAGTGAATTGGAGAATCTGAAGGTTGAGTGGTTGATAAGAGCATCTAGAAGGTGGTGATGGACGAAGGAATCTGAAAGTTCAGAGGTAGATAACAGGATCTGAAGGCTGGAAGGTGGATGAAAGGATCTGAAGGTTGAGTGAAGGATCTGAATGGGCCGTAGACAAGAGAATCTACATATATGGATGAGAGGATTTGAAGGGTTGGTGATAGATGAGTTTTTATGGGAGATTTTGAAGGGTGGATGCTCAAAGGAAGGTTTTGAAAGGTGGATGGTATACGACAGGAGATGTAGGATGTGGAAGGAGGCTGGTGAAGTTTGGATTGATGGAATGGAATATTAATGGGAATAACATAAGATAATTGAAAGGATAAAAGGAAGAATAAGAAAGGTAATTAAGTAATGTTAGTGAATTAAATGGATTATGGAGACATACCCTGTCATACTTGTACAGTCTATGGGTTTCCTGTAGGGTGGGAGAGGATGGTTTGCTTATCCTGGCCTCGCGCAGTCTGACATCACCATGGTCAGCTGAACCAGACACAATGCCATGTCCACTCTACAACACACAGTTAGAGGATGACACAGAGTTAGTAGGGGTTAAATTGGGTCTGGACAGCTGGATTACATACTGGTTCTTCCTGTGTAAGTTCCTATATGTTACAGTAAATAAAAGTGAAATGCTCCACCCCAGTGAAAGTAGATATCCTGTAAACTATAAAACAATTATATTTCTAGAAAAAGGAACAAATATCTTTGGAACTAAAACATATGGCAACACGATAGGTAGCCAACATTCTGAATGATGGATTTATTTACAGTGTGTAATGATATAGATCTTAAAAAATAAACAATTTTATTAACATCAATGAAATTAGGTAACAACACTTTTTTAGATATATGAAACATGCAGAGACATGGGAATAAAGCTTCTGAAACTCCCACCACCACCGACAACAACATGCAGGTATTAGAGGCTATACTGATGTCATGCTGAGAATATCTGTACACAACACTGAACATAATTCACATCTTAACAGATACTTTCAGGCCATGTATATATACCACTCTCTCATTATCACTTAAAAGCTATCAAGCTTTATAGTAGTAAACTAGTTTTTTTTCTTTACTTTTTTTATTCAAATATTTTCATAACTGTCATAACATATTCCTAGCTATTTTTCTTCACATTATGTCTTTTTGACATCATACCAGTGTGTTATATTGTTGAATGTGCACTTCATATATTCTGATATCAGTATACACAAAGAATGTATATTACATTAAAATATTTAACGGCTCAATCATTTCCACATGACAGATGTATTGAAATGCAGCTTTATCAAATTCCACACTTTCCATATGTGTGAATATTTTATATCATACATCATAATAACAATGCACAAAATATGCTGGTGGTTATGTAAAGAAACTATCATTTTTTGTAAGTGATCACCAACCTAATGGCTATATCCATATATGTACTTTATGATTATTGTAGAGCACTGCCTGTGTTCTGTAATATTGTAGTTGTGAGATATCTCAGTACTGTCTGTGTACTGTAATTCTGTACTTTTGAGATATCTTAAGAGTACTGTCTATGTACTGTAATTCTGTACTTGTGAGATATCTCAGTACTGTCTGTGTACTGTAATTCTGTACTTTTGAGATGTCTTAAGAGTACTGTCTGTGTACTGTAATTCTGTACTTGTGAGATATCTCAGTATTGTCTGTGTACTGTAATTCTGTACTTTTGAGATGTCTTAAGAGTACTGTCTGTGTACTGTAATTCTGTACTTGTGAGATATCTCAGTACTGTCTGTGTACTGTAATTCTGTACTTGTGAGATAGAGTGCCTATGTACTGTAACACAGCTGTTATTTTCCCTATTAATAATTTGATATGATTAATGTTGTATCATACTTTTATGTTCTTACATTTGACAGTTCAATTATCATTCCAATGTAAATATGTTAGGCATGAGATAAAACCATTTAAATGGGAAATACGGGTTATATGATCTGTAGACAGAATATCAGGAATTTATGAAAAATGAGTTTCCATATGAGGCTGTTTGAATTAATCCTGCTTGTCTAAATATATTTCAATGATTCATGGGAAGAGTTTTGAAATGTTGATCACGTGAAAGCTTGCGGCAGCATTACATGCAGTGATAATTATCCTCATACAGTGCAACTTCCCAAAACCAATCCTCGAAATTGATCACCTCTTGAAACCAAACAAAATGGCGTTGTACTGAATGATATCCTCTTTAACATAGTAATAAAAACCTTCCTAATACTAATTCCTCTAAATTCCAAATACCGAACTGATTTTGTGTCCGAAATGATTGAAATATACAGAAAATCACTTCTGAATATCGGCTTTACATGCACTATCAAGATTCAAGTTCCGATCAGTGGACCATGAAATCTGTGTGACAGTTGTAAGTTTTGTGCCCATGGCTTGATCGTTTTTGTCACAGGTGGCTTTGTATACTATATCTACCCTGATACCTACCCTGGTACCTGCCCTGGTACCTGCCCTGATACCTGCCCTGATATCTACCCTGATACCTGCCTTGATACCTGCCCTGATACCTGCCCCTAATACCTGCCCTGATACCTACCCTGATACCTGCCCTGATAGGGAGGATTCTAATAAACATAATATATAGTTATCTCAAATGACAAATTGAAAAATTGAAACCATTTCAGATAAGTCCATCATTTCACGAAAGCGAGAAACGGCTACAGATAAAGCGAAAATAAGTACTGATGTAAAGTTAGAAAGCCACAGTTTCGGATCTAAACCCTGAGTAATTGAATACTGTTATTTCAACATATACAAAGTGGAAATATTAACTGAATGTTGTTTTAGAAGATTAAGTTTTTATGATGATCGACAAAAAACCTATTCATCAAATATAATATATGTAATGTTACTTCCAAGATTGCTGGACAATGCATAGTTTTCTGGTTTCTTTTTGACTAAAGCCACATGGAATAAAAGTATCAGTGTTTTTTTCACATTACCGAAATATCTTCACTCTATCAAACCTATATATCTTTACTCTATCAAGCCTTTTTTCTCTTTGAATTCATTTGAACATATTCACTGTAAATGTTGAAAGCAAACGGAATGGTTAATGAAGTGTACAGAACGGAATCAGTTCAGTTATATCCAAGCCCTGACCAGTCAACTTCCTTCACCTCTACAAACCGAACCCTTCCTAAATCAGCCAAATATCCATGTACCATGCATGGTCCGTTTGGAGAAGTTCCACCGTATATATTTAACCAAATTTCATCATCATTATTCCATTTCAGCAAAATAAAAAAAATCTCTCTAAGGAATAATTAGACTCTAAAACTGTCCTCTTTTCTGTATACATCCTCAAGGTTGTTTGCCCACTTATATGTTGTCAAGATGGTAATGTGACCATCGTGCTTGACACCAGGTGGCGTACCTCTCTGTCAAATGCTTTATTATCCTCTCCACCTCTCCAAGGACGTCCATCTCCTGAAAGTTTCTGACGAACCGCAAGGTTGCGAGCATGCCGAATCTTTTCTCGCATCTCTTTAGGATATGGGGTGGGACACCTGACTAGCTTGCCCTAGAAATGAGGTCATGGGTTATGACATAACATTCAATACTGTTAGTAACCATGGTAACCAATTAGTTAGTATGCGCAACAAAACATGCTGTTCAATACCAATGCTTGCTGTAGCGAATGTTACACAACAGGGCCAGCCTTAGTAACTTACATCAGCACACATCCATTACCACTAACAGAACATTTTAAGGGTCTATATTAAATGGTTAGCTTAAGTTTTATGAATGATGAAAATTAAATTATTATAGTGAATTTGAAATAATGATTTTTTTATCATCTGATTAAAACCAGATAAATTACAAACAAAGAATTTTTAAAATCTGGAATTGAAACATGCTTATAACATACATACTAAACACAAGATTCATAAATTATTAACAGGGAAGATGAGAACTAGAACAAAGGGAGATAACTAGGCAACAACAGGGAACAAAGGGACATAGTCTAATAACATGCATATACATGCATCAAATGTGTCACAGGCATGGAAAATTTTGATAAATCAAATTTTATACCATTTCCTACCATTATATATCCATCAATGTCTATAATCTCACATCACTCGATCATCTGTTATATTCAAGCTGTGTAAGATAAGATTCTACTGTATACAGTTTCGGCAGCAGTGCAGGTTATACTGTATATTTCTAGACATATATACTACATATCTATTAGATGTAGGATCTGTTGTACTGAGAAGGTTCAGAATGTGTAGGAAAGTGGGCAGATATAGTCAACTAAATCTATCACAACCATCCTGGCAGTTTCAACAGAAAACTTCGCATAAAAACAAAAGATTTTGTACTTGGAAATAAGTTAAAAGATAATGGGACAAGATGGAGACACAGATATATGTATAGATAAATGGACACTGGATGGGACACAAAGGAATAGACAGAGAGATATGATGTGATGGATGTACTTACATCCTCATCCAGTTCCTCTGTGAACTCAAAGTGGATCTGTTGTCTCCGCTCACGTTCCTCATCCCAAATTGAGGCATGGAAACTATCTGTGTCTCCGCCACCATTCAAGTCACCTAAATAACATAAAAGAGGACAGATTGTCTCATTTTTTATGTAAAATTTCCGTGTGGTCGAGATTCACTTACTAGGACATGTACCACTATTCGTGCATAAGATGTTTCATTGTACACAAATCAAAAATATCTGACGTTGAGTAAATTGTATCTGGAATGGTAGGTAGGATTTAATATCCATTCTGAACTTTGCATATGGTTGTTCAACAGAATTTAAATAGTCACAGGCTCACAGAGATTGAAGATTGAGATGGCAATCAGTACCACACAACTTACCAGAATCCTCTGATGGACACTGAGGCAGTAGATAGCAAGTTAGGATCTTACGCCCTGTTTCTGGTTCAATCTCCGACTGGAATGGGACAATGGGCCGTGTCTGTGAAAAAAAAATGATAACTGTACAGGATAGTCAACAAACAAAGAATATGTGTAATTATTAAGTAAATGAAGCTAAAATTGTTTATAATGCATTGATATTGAATATGAACCACAGAATTAAAATCCACGTCATATTTCGGAGTCTGAAAAATTTCTAGTCAGCAAGAATTTAAAGAATTTTTTTTTTCATATTTGGCAACAATATGATTTCAAAAGACACTGTCAAACTTTTCAATAAAGCAAAACATTACGAAGCCCATTTAAACTCCTGCCACTTCAAACCATGGTAAAAGAGAGCAGCAGTGGTATAGAGGTGTGGAAATGTACCTGGTTTTCAGACAGCCAGAGGGCCTGCAGCTCCTTGAGTTTGGTGACAGAGAAGGGTAAGAACTTCAGGAGGTTGTCACTGAGATTGAGTACACGTAGGCGTGGAATACGTCCAAGCTCGTCTGGGATGTATTCCAGTTTATTGCTGCGCAATGAGAGCACAGTGATCCCGCTACAGCTGCCCAGCTGAAAAACAGACATTATGTATCAGGATATCAGATTAAAATTTCCATACATATCTTGGAAATGCAACATTCCTAGGTAAATTAAACTACATGATATTTATAATAACTTTGGAATAGAACAATTAATGCCTTTTGTATATAAAATACGATGAAAACTTAATCAATAGAAAGCCTTTAGGGAGATTTGTTCACAACTAAGGAATGCCATTCAGGGAAACACAAGTACAGGTCTTGGTTATTTAGTCAAACATCATTGAAAAAGTTCAGTCAAAAACTTAGAAAGCAGATCTTCTGACAAGATTAAAAATTGTAAAATTGTCAATAACTCTTTCATAATTTTTGAACTGAAATGCCATTCAGGGAAACATTTTTCCTTCACAAGAGTGTAAAGCCTATCAACTTTGAAGAAAAGAAATTGCTTAAAATTAAGAAAGGAAATTTCTTGGCAGAAAAATTATACACTGTCGAAATTTTACACAGGCAAATAAAAATAAAATTATTTTCCCATTAAGTGATGTTTTCTTGTTTCTCAAAGTTTCATGTAGCATAGTTAACAATAATAAAATCTTCAATGCTAGAGGATGTTTTAAGACACATAAGAATATGAAAAACATGCATACCCTGCTTTGTCTCGAAAATGAATATCTGTATTAATGAAGCTATCAGTTTTATAACTTTTATGTTAGGTATTATACCTGTCCTATACAGGTACATATTAAAATATATTAAAGTATCTTGTTGATAAATCAAATCCCAATAAAAGTTTTAAAATAAATTTTGTGTAAAATGATATTTTGACCATTCTTTTTACATTCATTCAAAACACTGATGCTTAGGTCATTCGAGTTTGGCAGGTTTTCTTCGTCAGAGCTGCTTGAGTATATCTAGTGCAATGGTTACGAGATCGCCGTGTAATACGTAACACAGGCATTAACATTGATAATTACAGATGTGTCTAGTTGGTGTTGTGTGATTTCCATTATAATGCTAATACAATGTAATAGATACACTACCTGGACCCGTTATCAGGATACAGACAAACTCAATGTGATTCTTAAGAATCTAAATTTGATACAAAACAGCATCCTTAACTAGACTAAACTACTATTTATCATACGTATTTTATGATGGATGTAAGATCTTACCGTGAGTATCAAGTTATTATTTTGTAATTTCGGCTATATGTATCCCTATCGTGACTGACAGGTGAGAGACCAGTGAGACACACCTCCCTATAACCCATGATCCTGTCTGAATTTTTCCACCAGGAAAGTGCCAAGTAACAGGCATTCAAAACACCCAGTAGCTTCTGTACCTACCTCAGCCGGAATCATTTCCAAACAATTCTCATCTGCATAAAATGTCCGTAAATTCCGCAGGAGTCCTAAGGACGATGGCAGATCCTCAAGGTCATTACGGCTAACATTGAGTTCAGATAAAGATGTCAGACTGGAGAGAAAGAGGGAAACTTCAGATGTTAATAAATTTTTACATCTTAGAGAAAAAAATTCATGATTTTCCATTTGGGGTAATATGGAATAAAATTAATAAATTTTGGGTAATATGGAATAACATTAATAAATGATTGATCGATAATTGGTTATCAATCTTTTTAAAAAATTGAATTTTAAAAAAACAATATTAATTTTTGAGTGATTCTCAACAGTTTCTATATCTATTATCATTTTTCATTATTTTTTTTATAAAACATGTCCTTATTTGGTACAATTTTAATGTCCAAAGAAGAAGAAGCTGATCTCCAAGGCCAGTTTATTGTCTACAAGACTTACCCTCCTATTGTGTTAGGTAAGGACGTCAGCTGGTTCCCGTCTACCTTCAGTGTGGTGATGTGTTCTAAATTACCTGTAATGTTAATAAACCACATGTTAATCGGCTCAACAAAACCACTGACTAATTACTTATTGATTAATGATTATTTTCTAAATACCATTTATCATTAAAACTCATATTAACTTTTTCTGTGATAAAATGCTTTATTAAATATCATCAGACCTAAAAATCATGAATGAGAAATAATTTTACCATAAAACGTAAATCAGATCTTTTTATAGTGTCTGAACACAGTCGTAAGAGCCAATATGAATGCATCATCGCATGCATTAATATCCAACAAAGACAGAATGAGTCTGTAATTGTTGGTAGTTTCACGACTCAGCTACTACAAACAGACACAATGCAGATGATATAGTTCTATCTCTAGTGCCATAGATTCCCTACATTTCCCAGTCTATGGGAAAATATCAATTATTCAGTGCAAGTTCATATTTCAATGATGTTACAAGGATTGATTGTTTTTTTGTTTTTTTTTTGTTTTGTTTTGATAATTCAGTTTGAGTTACTGCTGTTCCTGAAGACTTTCACCAGCCCTATCGCATATGCTAGGGTAGATCAGTTTTCATAAATACAGTGAGAAAACATCTGCGTTTACTGATTGTACACAAGATACCCACGTATTAATCACAGAGAACCACGCAGACCTAATATCATACAATCATTCTACTTTTTTTTCATACAACAACAAGTATACAGGTGTTCTTGAACAGTTATCAAAAAATGCATTTATATTTTTTTGGTATGAGGTATATTTACTCAAACAGAACATTCCTAGGTAAATTGTTTCTATTAAAGTGAACACATGTTATTTTAATGAATTAAAAACCCAGTATTACACAGAACTGAACACTTTGTGTATCCGGCATATCTACACTTCATAGACTTGATAAATCAATATACATATATATGTATCTATTATGATTAATTAGATATTTACTGAATGTGTCATAGGTAATCTTTACACACCTCTAAAACCATCCCACCCCTAATATCTATAAATAAATCAGGGGATTAAAGGGAAAATCATTACCTTTCCGATTATCTTTGGTTCTGTTTCACAAGTTTCCCACATGACACAAGATAATTCACCATCTTGTTTAGACTAAATTACTAGATAAGCACCCTCTAGTTTATATTATATTACCAGACAAGCTGTGTGATTTGTCTACATTAATTATATTCTGACTCCCTATATCCCAGAGATGAGACCTGTGCTGCATGCACACGTCCATTTTTTTACCAATAGTCACCTGATCAATACATTCACGCCTCCACCATATTTCACACATGATTTTACACTGGATAAATTGCTGTGTGTTTAGTGGGTGTCTGTTAAACTAGATAGGATGTGACTAAGATCTCCCACTTTTGTCAACAAATGTAACCGGGTATGTACAGGTAGTGTGCATTGTAGCCAAATATTCCCCAGGTGTGTAAACGAGTTTCTCCTTCGTTATGAATAACAATAAAACAGTGCTATATTTATTTACAGGTACCTTCCTGTATATCATATTATCATGATGTAATTGCAGGTTATCCCTACAAAAAGTTGTCTACCTTGGGTAAATGATACCTATTACACCAACTCTACCTGTGATTCACCAGATCTTGCCCCGTATGCTAATTAAAAAGTTCATATTACACAACAATTACGCCATCTGTGTCGTTGATCATTTCACAGAGTTATATATAAACATGGTAGGATTTCTCCAGAGAAACAAGATCTGATTAACAATATACAGGTATCATTCATGTGTAATAATAAATAATTTTGTTTCTGTAAAATTCTAGAATATGTGATCTCCAACATGACCCAATCTATTTTCCAATCTATTCAGTATTATCACATTACAGATATTCAATATATCTGCCGCAATGTCGGGGAGATTTGTTGTCACACTGAAGTATTTACACTTGTTCTGAGTATGACTGTACAGAGGTAACTTTCAAGGTAGAAGTCCTGGTGTGTATGTGTAATGTGAGTATATTTACATTTCACACTTAACAATCCTTTTTAAGGTATTTGATACACTAAATGTTGTTTTACAGAAAAACTTCCAAAACATTTCTACAAACACAGAGACAACATAATCCGGGAATGGGAAGGCACAGTCAACCAAACAAAATTTGTTATATAAATACTGTTGAAGTGTTTGTATGATGACATTATTACCTGATGGAGTTATTTTTGGAAGTATCACACCAATAGTCATGAAGATTTATTTGGGAGCTCATAACATCAGACAGACAGCACTCCCCAGGAAGTGTATATAATAAAGAGAGGCCACAGCAATAACCATGTAGTCATCTTTTAATTTAAAAGCCTGGCCTGACAGAGGTCTTAACCGACATTTATCCAGGGGGAGCACCTACAAAGACATTTTGATCTAGCTGGAAGCCAAGCCACCACCATTGTAGGTGCAGCTAACTTTATTAAGGAGAGTAGTGTTAGTATTGACTTAGGGGTATCACAGTATTTTCCTTGTTCAATCTGACACCAAATCAATATTGGAGTTGAGCCGTCCAGCAGATGGCAGTGTGCTCTGCCGAGTCCCAGGTAAATCATAGGAGGGTCGATTAAGATTTTTAATAGCCCATTCCACCGATTTGCGTTCTGATAAAAAAGGATAATGCCTACACCAGTGGAAAAATCTATAGTAGTAACAATAGTTGTACAGGTATTACATGTGGCAGTGAAATGACGTGGACCAACCCCTCTTCTACTGAACCATACCAAGGGTACAGCCATTCACAAACCAACTTCAGTATTCCGATGTGTACTTCAAGTCCTCATAAATGTTTAGTTCAAATAAATAAGCACTGTCATGTTAGGGCGCATATCTAACGTTAACATATATACAGTGATTTTTATTTCTTAATTCTATAGAAGTATTATGGTATATACCGATTCGCCATGGAACACAGTTACTGAACGTGTACAACACACGACATCAGAATTGTGAATACCTGTCCCTGACATTGTGAAGACTGCCGAGAATGGGCGCCTGTTACAGTGTACACTACATTTGATAACCATAATAGACTCCAGATCACTGACTCCACTTAAAGGACATTCCTCAGAAACAATAGCTTCAAATGTTCATTGTAGTTAATAAATTAGTGTCATACCACAATAAATTATAACATTATTTTATAATATAACACCACCATCAAATCTTATACCAGTCAATAACCAAACGATTATTAAACAGTCACACTAAATAGCAATTTTAACCAGAAAACAAAGAGTCTTTGTAGTTGTACACACTCCTCTGTTCCTCAACAGTTCTATCTTTATATCTGAATACTGTTTGTCCCCAAAATTCTGTTTGTCCTGTATGTTTTTCCATCTCTTGTTAACTTTTGTCCTACTATTCCATCAAACCCATTGAACCTGTTAGCTGTCATTCTTAAGACCTTCTAGGTTTCTCCAGGTATATCTAATGCTGACCCACAGGGTAATTGGACAGCCTGTCGGAGTTATCAAGTTTCTACCTAATGTTATTAAAGGTTATAATACAATGATGAACAATTTTATCCAGAATCGATATATAAGGACATTTTTTTGTTGATTATAAATCATCAAAGTCCATCTAACAGAGGAGTGCTGTATTAATACCACTATTTGTTGTGATATGGCCTTCAGTTTGTCATCATTGGGCTATCTTAGAACGTCTACATTTATGAACTGTTGAAAAGTATGTTTAAAGTTTATTTGTCTTTCAAGAGAGATTGGAGTGACTCAATTGAAAACTTAAAGTATACATCAAGTTGAAGACATGCCTATGACCCTATATATTTTCCTTATTTGTGCTTCAAGGGTTTTTAAAATCTTATCAGTCTGGACTAGAATTAGCTCTCCAAGGCCCACTACAGTTGGTCAGAGCGGGGAGCACATAATGGTATTTTGATGGTTGGGGAGATGTCAATGGGTGTGAAAGGTTTACTAAGGTAATTTACAAGATGTATTCACCAGATTCTCACCTGTTGTGAATTATGCCATTCTGTGGAGTTTCTACTCCTCAGGTTTGTAACGTAGACCTATTTAGCTAATTTGCCTCACGATTCACTTGACTCTCACCTGGATTGGATTAAAGTACCCTGGAGACTGACCACAAACTTCAAGGGTGATATCGGTCAGTTTGACCACGGCAGGTATAATTAAACATTTATATTGGATCTGAGGAATCTACAGAGTGCTTATATGATAATGGCTATCTTCCAATCTGGTTGAGCAACAAACCTGACAATCTAGTCAAGTTCGGGCCGATATAAGATCTCAAACTTCATTCAAAACCTTTGGAACACTCATACGTTAGTGGAATATATTCTTTCCTGGTGTCTTTAATAATATTTTTCTGTAGACAGACTAGGGGTTGAGAACACAGCTGAAGGTATGCTAACCATCCTAAAACTGACCCCCAATAGTGTCCATCCAGGCTTCGATGTGAAAATACTGGACCTATACCCTATCAGCACTCAAGTGTAAGAAATGATTAACAGTAAGTCAAATATAAATAATTTGATTACCAGGATTATTGAGTAAATATCGCCCTCTCCCCTAATTAGGTGAGATTTCGAGGACAAGTTTTGACCAGTAGATAGTTAAAACCTCCGTAAACTATTGACGGTCTTTCTATACCTGTCAAATCTATTGACCAGATAGATCCTGATTTCCATATCCATGAATTCCTTAAGTTATACAGCTGGGATGTCTGGAGACAGCTACACCATTACATGTGACAACGTGTAACACAAGATCAAGTGTACAATAATTGATTGGAAAATGAAAGTAGATAGGCGCCACGTCTAGGCTAAACCATAAACATTATAATACAGCAGATTTATATATATCCTAACACATAAACATAACAAGTCTCTCAAATGTAATGGTAACATCTAGATTCTCAAAATTCTAAAACTATAATATCCCCGAATAATTCCTTGTTTCTGTCCTCTTTTACAAACATCTGTTTTCATAAACAAACTTCCAACTTTGACATTTAGTAGAAAAGGTAAGAACACAACTTAGTAACAGCTTGTGAGACTGTTTTAACTCGGGCTTATCTCAATAAACACTGAGGTCATGATGTTACTGAGTCAACAAAGTAATCTCAATAAAATTACATAAACCCAGCCAACAACAAATTTATTCCAAAAATACCAATAATTATCATCTTTTTAAAACTAAATTTATTTCTTTGTTTCAGTACGATTATGTACAGCCTTATATGATTACGATTCTTTCTCCTCACATTTAACACACAACATAACTACTCGATGAAATTGCTTTTATTGATGAAGTAAAGAAACCAAGCTTGAATGTGTGCAGTCAGTAAAAACAGAAATTTATACATTACAGAGAAGTTGGATCTTGTTACACCACACCGATGACAAACCCAGAATATTATCTTTTTCTGCATAATATCCTGAATCTTTAACACAAGAATTGTTAAGTTATGACGAATACAAAATAACCACAAGAATTTGCCATGATAGGTGTCTTGATGGCACAGTTAACTGTTAAAACTGTCGTATCTTGTCCCAATAATCTAAAGAGATCGTCAGATTAACCATGTTTGGTGATCCGTGACATAGTCATTGTCCAGCTAGGCTACTTAACTGTAAAGTATGACAATAGACTTGATATTGACAAACAAGTTGACAATTCAGTCCAACTTCGTACCTCAAGGGTTTGTGCTGAATGTCCGGTCACGAGAGGGGTTACATGTGAGCACATGATACATCATCAGTGCCACATTTGGGACATAACTGGACTTGTTAACAGATACTCTGGCACAGAGTGGCAGCACAAAAATATCTGACCCTACATCAAGATTTAAATCATTTTAAAATGTAACAAGTTTTAAATGGCCCTGATCAGGTGTTTTTCTCTCATGCCTGGCCTTTTTTCTTTTGAAAGGATCCTCAAATTTCAAGTCCACATCTTTTTTTTTTTTTTTCTCAAATCTAATAATGACATCTTTTGAAACAAGTGTTTCACATTATCGTATATTTTACAAAAACTTCTATATATACATGCATAATAATTATAATGAGTTTTTAATATTTAAAACATACCAAAAAAACTGTTACAACTCTTCTTAAATACCCTAATGATCAGTCCCCTTTAGCACATTAACATTGAGGTAGACTAATACCCCTTACACTATACCATTACAGAATGACCTCTAAAACACTTCATATTACAAGTCATAGGTACTGCACTTATCTCTGTCAAAATGCACTCGGTGATTCCATTCTTAAAAAGATTTTTTTCCTTTGAGCTTAGTTAAGTGACAGGAAAGTTTTAAAAACTGTGAGAAAGATAACATTACGTCACTATTATCAAATTACATGTACTTCAGTACAGTATAGTAACAAGTGTATGTTTAGCGATGATGATTTTAGGGTATCATATATTGTGCTTCATAGCATTATCATAGATAGATTACAGTTAGTTTACATCACATTTACATTCAAAATATCTATTTCAAAGAATCAAGAGATCAAATCATTTTCCTCTATTTATTGTTATTAACATGTGGTGTGAAAATTTCTTTAAAATGACACACAAATATTATTTCTCAACTGTGTTTTAAAATCAGTTTCTTCATAAGGCATTCATGTAAAACTATCTACACCAATTTCTGTCAGATTTGTGACAGATTTGTGCGTACTATATCTGAATGACTTCAATGTTTGTACCCAGTATTGCTCTGTTTATGGGCGACTCTCCCATACCTTACAGGTAAGTGTCTAGAGTTACAGGTATAAAAATCTTAATTATATGTCAAATTTCATAGCTAGTTTTAGTATGCCTTTCAAAATAAAAAATTGAAAGGTGTTTAGAAATTGTTCAGATGAATTTTCGTTTTAAAAATGGCATAAAATGTTTTCATTTTTCTTGTGAACATATAAAAGTGACAATGTATCCTGTCATGTGACATGGTTTCAGCCCTAGTACCTGTTACCATAAGTTCTGGGAGATAGGTAATACTTATCTATCATGTTTTTCATACCTTTACGACTCATTTCATGAACACACAACATTCACCAATCCGACGGTGTATAATAACTTTTTCTCCCAGAAATTAAAGTTATAAGCAGTCATGTCTCCTGTCATACTGTCTTTCTCAGTGTTATTTCACTGTTTAGCTAAACAATTCACTTCAGTCAGATGACAGTAAAATCATCGACCCATGATTGAAATCTTCTCACCAAACCCAATAAATCCTGTTTGTGTAAACTGATTGATGTTAGTAATTGTTGATTCCACAGTTAACACAAGATATCGGTCTCAGTTGACATGGTGAATCCACCTTTCATCTAGCTATATAAACAAGTGCAGGTATAAAATGACAAAATTCTCCTGTTTAAAAGACGCCATAATATCTGAGAAAAAAATCTGTGGGAAATCTGACCCACCAATAGCTACATACTACCCTAATGTTTAATTTTACCACAGAAGAACATTAGAGGGAGAATGAAGGGTGTCGTTACCGCGGGGATGAGATCACCTCTACACTAGTAATCCGAAAATCTAACACTTAAACGTTTTATACTGATATAATCAGCTTTAAGCCAATTTGTATCACTGTCCATATCTGATTTACTCTGATCAGATCATATGACTTGTGCAGGACTCTATCAGATTATCACTATATCTTTTTCCTCAATAGATTTTTTGGCAGAAAATTTATTATACACACATACATATATTTCATTAAGTTAAAAAGGAAATGCAAACATTTTAGGACACAAAATGATGTGAAATTGTCAGCCAAATGACAAGTTTATTTCAAAAATGAAATTTGTTTCGGATTAACATTATGTAAAAGTATGAAAGCATTCCATGAATTTTCTTCTAATGTTAAAATTGTTTGCCATACAAAAATGTATGTTAATAAATGCAAATAACAAAAAAACAAATACAGCTAAAACCAGTTGAATTCTTATTAATAACTTAACTTTATCAAATCACTACCAATGACATATAGAGACATGTATCAGTACAGATATTGTCTGTCTTCCTACATTTTGTTAAACTGTCCTTGCAAAGACAACACACTACGTACACCACACTTGGCCAAACAATAACTGTAAAATGATAACTATTAAGTCTAAACTAATCTGGCGAGTGATTGACAAACTGACTTCACTATCGTTGGTTTTTATGTGAAAATCGCACAAAATCGGATGGCAGCTTCTTTATCTTGTCAATGTTTAAAATACCAAACACAAAGAAAGGCCAACACCCTCAATAGACAGCCTTTGTATGCAAAAATGGTTTTAGAATCTATCGTGATGCATGCCACACGGACATGAACATGGACACCTGATATCGTTATAGCGTGGTCTTTTAAGCGTTACTTCCAATCAGGCAATCACCTTACAATAATGACCAAGTGTTTTAGTCGATAGCTAGCTGACCCAGGCATGTCTTCGACTCTCTGTTCCACCGAGTTTTGGGTGACTGTATCATGTCCTTAGGAAAAACCCTGTTAGTGTCAGCTCACCAGCCGTGTAAAATGTTTACTGAAGGCCTTTTGTGTTCAAATCATTTAGAATTAGCATTGAAGGAAACCAAGAAGAAGCCTTTTGTTTAAATCCAAAGAAAAACAATGTTATTTCAACTCAGCCTATCATTAAAATTCCATTAGATTTGAGTACATGTCCGGGAAAAGTTAAATTCCCCTGATTAACCTGTGATTTCACACGACCTCTGACACCCAGGTCCTTCAGTTCTCTAAGATCAGGCTACAGTTGATGTCTAGTGTCACATGATGTGTTCTCCTTGATCAAATGACTATAAAAGGATGATTATTCCAAACAAAGCACAAATCTAAAGTTGCCAAGTACGGAAGGTCACCTTGACATTCCTTATATCGCAGAATAGAGGGAAATTCTGCCAAATATAAGTAAGTTTATGTATTTTGAAGGTTAAGTCATACATAAACATACATTGAACAGGAGAGACCTTAGAGACGGTTGTTAATTCTAATGTCTTTCAAAAACTTACCCAAAGAGATATTTGTGATTTTAAAGCAATATGAACACTTACCCATATACTAGAAGAGGACCCAGAGGTGGTTTTAAGTTAAAAGTAACATAAATACTCACCCATTGATTCAGGAAGACCTTGAAGGTGGTTGCCTGTGAGGTGAAGGTCAGCCAAAGACACACATCCTTCTATCTCATTGGGCAAAGTCTGGATCCTGTTCTTGGTGCAGTCCAGGAACATGAGCTGTTTCAGGTTTCCAATCATCTGTTTGATACAAACAATCAAGGGGTTAAGACTTCAACAAAACCTATAAATCTGTGAAACATACATACCCTATCTCTTTCTCCTATTGAAATGGAGTTAATGGAAAAGTCAACTCCCCAGTCCATCCTCCCAACAAACATATAAAATTTTACACTATTAATGTTGTAAATGGAAAGAGCCCCCTGGTACCCAGAAAACATAAGCTTCCTAGGCCTTAAACATAATTTAATAACACAATTCAGTCTAACCAAAGTGTGACAAATGCAGCGACACAAAATCTTGAAAGTCCCAAAGACATGACCAGCAGTAGCACACAAAGTACAAAACCTGTCTGGAGATAACACCGTTTCATCATGTGATTGCTCCAGACACATTCAACCCTAGATTTCAGAATTTGATGAAGTGAAGATGTGCTTAGTTGTACGGTTGTGAGATTTTTTCAGACAATACTTTGAGTTAGTTATTCTCTAAAATGGTTGATTCTCTCCGTGTTAGCAGAGATATGTTATATCTATGTTAATTTTGACCCTTGTTAGTTGTCAGTTAATTGTTTGGATATACAAAATCGCAATAAAAAATCTGACTTTTTGCAATAAATGAATGAGGCGTCAAAAGCAACGTGGTTCTCACTGAAATTTCAGTGATGAATAAAAAAACCTACATATCAGCTTTCAAGTCCATGACCATAGTTAAATTTGATATACAACTGCACTAAAAATTTAATTTAGAAAAGTTATAAAGCAAAATGGTTCATATATAATGAGTTTTCGTGTTTATGATCTGCAGATGTTGGCTTGTTTTTTATTCAAAGTCATCAACCATGTGCATTTATGAATTTTAAAATATTTCAAGTGTGACCATGCAATTAATTAAGGAAAAAATGTTATAATTTTTCCCTTCTTTTGTTGGTGATTTATTTGATTTTATTATGAAAATGTTATTTCTTACAAAACTTTGTTCTTGACAAAGGAAACCCATATTTGTGTTCCAACAACTGATCAAGTTGAATCTGATTATAAATGTGTGTCCTACTTGAAAATCTTGACATAGGTATTCTGTCCTATACTCCTGAGTACACATTGACAGGTAGGTATTTGAAGGGTGTCTTCCTGTCTTATCATATGACAAACTTTTAAAAGTTTAAATGATGCATGTAAGTGAAATAACAGTAATTAAAACATAAATATCTGATTTCCCTCAAGTCTGAAATAAAACAATGTCTGGCGAGGACAATACAGCCAGCTTATCTGACCGTAGTTCACCACACAGTTAAGCTATCATATAGAAAATCTGACCCAACACCTTTCCATCCAACAATTAAAAAGAAATTTGGTATCAGATGTCAACAAAAAGCTCAGCCAGACGTTTAAAACTCCAGATCTTGTGTTCCGTGGTGTAATAACTATGTAAAACGGTACAGATACCTGCACTCAACCAGTGAAGGCTGATGCACTGGAAGATTTCTAAAAGGACTCAGAAAATATCCCTGACAAAGGCGTATAAATTGTGTGTACAGTTACACCGTTTTGTGACGGTCCACATTATCTGTGATGTAGTGTTGGATATTTTACCCAACCAAGACAGGAATAATAGGCCATGGATACACCTACACGGAAAGATACAGTGAGGACTAACATTACCGGTACAGGATGACAAGAAAACACAAAGATGTCAGCAGAATCTTTATCTAAACCCACTCAAAATTTATATGTGGTTGAAATATTATCAAAAGAAAAGATTTACACCTACATCAGGACATACAAATAAATCAACACAAGGAACTCCATGTTTTTCAGCTACATTGTAACGAATCAAATTCAGTTAAATCAGACAGAAATGAACCAATAGATCTCTTTCATTATGCAGTAATGATCATTCAGAAAAAAAGATGTTTCTCATTTCATTTAAATTTGTCTGACCTCTTCAGATTCTCTACATGAATAAACACTAGAATCATACAGGATTGTATGATACAGAGATAAAACTCAGACAATCAATTTTGGTAGCCAACAGCAGTCTACGCCCTTGTCATTATTATCATCATTATGACATTCTTAATGGCCCGTCAACACATACAAGGTCATTAGGACCATCAAACGGTGAATGACACAGCGATCCAAAAAGGTAAAAACTAAGAACTTGTGTCCAGACCTCAAGACATAATGACCTTACCGCAATGACCTTACCACAATGACCTTACCAAATTCCGACTTCTGTGCGCTCAGAATTATATAATTTTACAATTCTTCTCAACATTTTTTGTTGATTTAGTATTTCAATTTGGTGTGTTTCTTTGTAAAGCATGAGTAAGACTTGTCACCATCACAAGGACATTTCTGTGAGAACAAGAACTACAAGGTCGTCTTCTGATAATGCAATTAGATTTCCACCAATAAATGAACAAGCCATCACACTTGTCTTCGTATCTAACACCAAGACAGACACCATTCTCACTGTGACGTTGCATTTTAATAATTCACATCTCTTTTAAATATTCAAAATGGTCTACAGACAATAAATTTACTGCAAAACATAAAAATCTTTGAGGAACAGTGAAAAACATTCTTCCAATTTTGTTTTTTTGAAAGCAATTTAACGCCTCAGGTTATAATTTTCTTTACATTCTAAAAAGGTTATTGGAAAAATATGAAAACAAAATTTACCAATAACAATAGGAATGGGTCTAATATGTTGGTCTTCCAGACACTTAACTTCTTAATTAGATAATGAGATGTAATTAACTGCACTGCAATTGTACAGAGATCCAAACACTGTCGCGACAAGAGGTGTTGAGTTGACCAAGAATGGGTGATCATGTGACTTACTAGGGAAACATTGGCTGGTCTTACGAGTGACAGCCTGCAGCAATATTTTAACAAATCACCCGCGGACTTGTGTTGGTCTCGAGGAGAATCACTTATTAGTGGCAAGTTGTTCTGATGACTTACCGGAGTGACCTGGGCTATCTGGTTGTGGTCGCACCATAATTCCAACAGTCCTGTCAAGTTCCCTATTACATCTGGCTGTTAAAAGGAATTTCACACAAATACATCAATTATCAATTTCTAGAAACCTAAATTAAAAACACAAAAATGTATTTGAAATATTGTCCAACATTATGATATTGATGCTCAGATATTTGAATTACGACACAAAAAAGCATGACTGACAACAACTCTTTGTGTACAAAATTCCCATATCACTTCTTCATAATTCAATCTAATTTTTTTATTCAATTTTTAACCTATCTTAATATGAAACTGATGAAAACAAAAAAATCAAAAAAAAAGACATGGTAACTTTCACTATATACAATTTGGAATCAACTATTAGCTTTGAAATTCATTCAACAACTGCTGACAGTAACTTGGCATTTCATCTAGTGGGGTGGGGGGGTAATTACGAGCAGGTTAATCACTGTCTAATACCCTCTACAGGATCATTAAACAAGATTTTCACAGGAACATCACTGTTTATTGAAGTTTATTGACAATGATTCTTTGAAAGACAATCCCTCCCCCATAAGTGGAATCTAGGACAATATCCCTCAGTACATGCTATTACTGCCCCCATGGTACCATGTTTGTCTCTCTATTTGTCTGTCTGTGTTTGTTTTCTCTTTACTTTTATCAAGTCTGCCTGTTCAGCTGAGTATAATATGTATAATTTCTTGCTATACACTTGTTACAACACTCTCCATACATGTTGTCTTTCCATTCACTTCCTACAGTGTTGGTCATTCCTTCAGTTCCTCTTTGCTGTCTGGTAGTCAGTCTATTCATGATGTCATTAGTTCAAACTCACATCTGTCCTGTAATGTTCTATACAGGTGATCCTCTGTCTGCCTGTCTGTGTTGTGTATTCCCCAATGACACTGCCCTTGTCCCCTTTATTCTATCTCACATCTCTCTGGTGTTGTTTGATCCTTGTGATTGTCTGTCATATTTGTCTGTCCTATCTGTCTGTCTGTCTGTCTGTCTGTCTGTGTTGTGTATTCTCCAATGACCCAGTCCTGGTCCCCATTAGTCTATCTCACATCTCTCTAGTGTTGTTTGATCCTGATGATTATCTGTCCTATCTGTCTGTCTGTCTGTCTGTCTGTCTGTCTGTCTGTCTGTGTTGTGTATTCTCCATTGACCCTGTCCTGGTCCCCATTAGTCTATCTCACACCTTTCCAGTGTTGTTTGATCATGATGATTGTCTGTCCTATCTGTCTGTCTGTGTTGTGTATTCTCCAATGACCCAGTCCTGGTCCCCATTAGTCTATCTCACATCTTTCCAGTGTTGTTTGATCGTGATGATTGTCTGTCCTATCTGTCTGTCTGTCTGTCTGTCTGTCTGTCTGTCTGTCTGTCTGTCTGTCTGTCTGTCTGTCTGTCTGTCTGTCTGTCTGTCTGTGTGTGTTGTGTATTCTCCATTGACCCTGTCCTGGTCCCCATTAGTCTATCTCACACCTTTCCAGTGTTGTTTGATCGTGATGATTGTCTGTCCTATCTGTCTGTCTGTCTGTGTTGTGTATTCTCCATTGACCCTGTCCTGGTCCCCATTAGTCTATCTCACACCTCTCCAGTGCTGTTTGATCCTGATGATTGTCTGTCCTATCTGTCTGTCTGTCTGTCTGTCTGTCTGTGTTGTGTATTCTCCATTGACCCTGTCCTGGTCCCCATTAGTCTATCTCACACCTCTCCAGTGCTGTTTGATCCTGATGATTGTCTGTTCGGTCACGTATACAAAGACCAGTGATAGTAATACAAATCCTCTAGTATTTGCCTGTCATATCACCCATTTGTCAAGAAGAATTATATACAGGGCAAAGTTACTGAAGGCTAAAACTTTAAATTTAATCCCAATTTAATCCTTGAATCCCCTTACCCATGTATCATAATACGGATATCTGTGTGTATTTTAATACAATATCATTGTGAGATACAATACCTAGGTCTATAATGGTACACCAATATGACAGGGATTGTAACACTCTGATTGGAATCAGGACTTATTTCAAAAGAACTTACGACTTGATAATCGTTTAAACATATTTGTCATCGAAAAGAATGCAAGATTTGGCACGTAATTTTTTTTCGTTTAATTCCCATGACACATACATAACAAAGGAGCACATTTTGTCTGATCAAACACACCATGATGTTTTTGAGTACAGACTTAAAGTGTTCTGTTGTATCTCACAAAACGTTGTCAACTTATCTATAAAAAGTAACTATCATTCATAGGCCGTGGATAAAATTGACATTATCCTGTCAGTTTAGTACAATCTCGTCAGCATTATGTTAGGTTATTTGAGGTCACTACCATCTTAGTAACAATCATTTTACCAGTATCTGTTTCAGACCTGAGGCTGAAGCTGTCTAAGGTGTAAATGTTGATGAGATATTTGATAATCTCACATTATAGGAAATGTACCTACATACAAAATTTTGTGACAACTTTTCAAATCATTTCTATAACATTCAACCCCTAGACATTTCACAGCCCATTGACCCTGAATATCCAGGTTTAAGCATTTCAACTTCAATGTAGTGTTAACACCCCTCATCCTTACAACCAAATAACTTCTCCATTCACACACCAAAACAAAATTAAAACAGGTTCCAGCATTCAAACTTACAGGAAAAAAGGTAAATAAGACGTAATGAAAAGATAAGGTGCATAACAGTTAATTGGATAAATTTTTCCTTTTTTACAAATTATTTTTTCCCCCTGAATTTCAATTTTATAAACTAAAAATGTGGTTTAGGTGCATGGGAGTAATTCTATAGCCAGGTGCATATCCCAAGTCATGGATCATCTGTATGTAAATCAGGAGATGACATGTGGTTTATCATATCATTCACAACATAAAGTTTCCTCATTCTATATTAACATTGATTAATTCATCTAGGAAGTTTTAACACTGCGTTGGTCTATGATTGTATCAGTCTATTTAACACTCTTTTACATTAGACCTATATTTTTGACAGCATTATTTTTTATACATGGTTAACTTTTAAGTTTATCATCTTAAGTTTTCAATTCGTTTTTAAATCCATGACAAGTTCATACAGAATAATTCAATCAGTGATCACATCATTATGAAATTTTCATTTTTTGAATTTGCACAAAGTAATTGATCTATTAACAACATGCAATCTTTTCTCTAAATAAGCTGTATTAGTAAAAATCACCAATAAAATCAACAATCATAGTTTCATTTTTCAAATTCATTCTTTTCTCTTTTCAAATATTGTTTTAATTGGACAAGAAAAAGGCAAAACACGCACCAGCTCTATGAACTCGTTATGGCCGATGTCAAGCCTCTCCAGGTCAGTAAGACGTGAGAATGACTTTGGAAGTGTCTTTAAGTGGTTCTCACGAATCTCCAGAATTTTTAAACGAGACAGTCTAAAACAGAACAAAAAATAATAAAATTTAGACATTTACCAATGACAGATATGATCTCGCATTCAAAGAGTGACTTTAGCAAACATCATAATAATATGTGGTATAAATAGGACAGGACTATGTAATTTTGATGGCATAAACTTTGACATAGGTGAAGATGGCATCATATTATCAGGATTACTGATAGATTAATTAGCAAAACTATTACAATTAGAAAGCATGATTATACAAATTCTGTCTTTGGTAATGCAAATTTTGTAATACAAACAGATCTTGCACTTTGAAATCATGAGAAATTTTTAATCATGACCAAAAATACGCTAACTTCAGTGGTACAATAATGTCTACTTATACATGTACTTTGACCTTGAAAGTAAAAAGATTTTTTAACCTTAAGAATGATGGAATATTCTACTCAAGATTTTTTAATCATGAATTAAAAAAGGCTTCAACATTTATGAGTAAATCAGTTATCACAATATCATTTGGTCAGAGGTAACAGGTCCTTCTGATAATTCACTGGGCAGACAGTACAAATTAGTGGACACATTCATTAAATATGCTGACTGATGTTAGACTAAGAAGATCCATCTTTTCACAAAACAAAAAAAAACCCAGCGTAATTTGTGTATAAAACTTTAGGGTCTGACCTTAAGGGAAAGACAGCCTGCAAGAAACCCCTGGGGAAACAATTATCCCACACCCATGTAAGAGGAGAAGTTTCTATACTTCTTTGATCTGGTTTATAATATGACTGATCATGGTATCTAGTTATACAGCATACCTGACCACCAACAGGGTACCCTTGATGATGTTATGGAGTGGTAAAAATGGAAGACAATGTGAGAATGCATGGGGGATACGAGTGGAAGACGGAGCAGGTGGGGGTGGCGATTAGGGGGGTTGGGGGGGGGGGGCAGGATGATTGATGTATTTTAAGAGAGATGGGGACAGCAGAAGTAGCAAGATGTATTGCGACCTTAAAAGATTAATTCCCAAAAGTTAAGTTTTTATCAGGATGTATAGGAATACTATATAAGTTTTCAATGTGTGACATTTCATTCTATGATATCCTACACTAGGCTACACATATATTGTTTCTATCAAACACCTATTTATCAGTGTATCGCTAAAGAAAAAGAATTTAATCTTCATGTACAAGTATTTGGTGAAACCTAAGGATTAATTTGAACAATTCATACCTTGCTTGTTGCATACACATGAAAAACCTATCACCTGTAACCAAGAGTGACAAAAATGCCTCATTTTTTTATTTCTGATCTCAAATGTAATTTGTCATTAAATTGAAATATTCGAGAGGTATCTGATAGATTGTTAAATGTGCAATTCATGCTGACAAGTTGTAACCTAAGTTACAAAATTAACTTGACAAACCCAATAACTGTCACTTCCTACATTATGATGACACTGTGGAGTTCTATATTAAGATGTACACATGTACCAAATCTCCCCAGAAATAGATTATATTCAAGGAATGATGATTAAGGGGAGGTTTATTTACATGTATGGGTTCCTGGGTGGAAGTCAGTCCAGAGGAATGAGAGATGAAGAAATGATGGATACCATATTTGTTCTACAATAATCCCTGGGAACTAACACATCAGCTCTGATACAAAGTTGAGAGTGGCATTGCTACAGAATGATGAAATAACTTTTGGTAGCAGTAAATATGGGTGGGCTTATTCTACCAAATATGGGCTTATTACCAAATTGATTTTTAAAAAAAGGTGGATTTACATGAAAATTCATAGAGGGTTGGAACCTACCTGCCAAAATTTCCTGGGAGGTAGTCGAGGAATGTGTCGTTGAGAAACAGTTGAGTAAGGTTGAGGAGCTGTGTAAAGCCATCTGGTAACCTGTTAACATATATAAATAACACATCAGAAACACCATACATATAAAAACAATAAAATATGTAAAACTAAACAGGTTGTTGCTGTTGTATTTTTGTTGGAGCCTATTTTCAAATTATCTTTTAATATATCAAAATTTGAACAAAGAATATTAACTTTTTATCCTGCAACTGTACTGCCATTGTCGGAATACGCCTGCCGCATATGTTTTTTTGCTATAGTTAGCAGTGATGGAAAACAACTATATTTTAGCAAATGTGGTAATTCACAGAATTACTCCCTGAATTTACCTAAATATTACTTCAGAAATGTAAAAAGTTGTTGAAATAGGTGATTTTACAAGTTGTAAAGAACAAGTTGATTTGTGAAAATTTATAACTATGTTTCCGCGCAGAGCAATTATTTTGGCGTCTGTCATCAGGCAAAATTCAGCGTATCAATGTCTGGTAAACACAAATTGAACAACAATTCTGTTTGTTTCAATAGTCCGTATTTCAATCAATGTTGTAGGATAAATAGAATACATGGTCAGTGTCTCAAGATGTAAGCTGTATTTTGGCAAGGGCGATGAAAGACAAAAGTGACCACCATGTATTCTCTATATATTGACTGAAATTATTTACAAAATGTTTGTTGAAATATTAAGTTATATTAACTTTTATATATTTGATGTTGTTCTAAAATTATCCAATATATGTAAATTGTGAAATTTATGTAATGATAGGGCTAGCGTATCTCCTCGTCTAGATTTTTACTTTTCTTTCAGTCGTATTGGATATTCTAATCGCCTCCTTTACTTCAAAATTTATGCCCTTAGCATCATTCACGAATCCAAAAAGGACAAAACAACTGTATGATGTAGCTCAATTCCTTATTTGGCTCTACTGTATCCAACTCTAAATTTGTCTTAAAAGGCGCTATTCACTTGTGCATCATTTGTAAAATCTTTAACATCAACAGTATCTGGTATAGGAACCAACTGTGTTACTATGACGTGTGAAAACTTTAAACATTTTTATTGAATACAACCTGAAGCTCTGTAGGTCTATGAAAATCTGTTGGGGGGGTGGGGGTGAACAATACAATGCTTGAACAATGGGATAGTAACAAACAAAAATGTTAAGTAGTACAGTTGTCTGATGTACCTTTTAACATTTATACACTAAACATATTACGGTACTAACAACATTGTAAACATTATCACAAACAGTCGCTTTACAGCCATGTTAATTTTAGCATAAACACTTGAAATATTTCAACAATTTTTTTTCAGAAACAATTATTGTTTTTAAAGGTGTTCCAATACTGGGATTTTTTTTTATATTTTTTAATCAGTTTGTTTGTCTAAAATTCTACTGATCACAACTTAATCTTTAATTTACAACATATTTTCGTTCAAACTAGAACCTGTCTACAATGGTAGCAGTATTACTTTGCTATATCCATGAAATCTTAGAGAAAAATCCATTCTCGATAAAATCGCCTAGAATAGAGACCAGTAGAATGCACACCAACATGCACATAAAATTTATCAGTATTCTTTTGAGAATTACTGCTGATAACACTCTCTCAAGGTTGCATTATTGAACCATGAATGTGGTAAAAAGAAAAGAAAAAAATGCGAGATGGTGCTGATAATCTTACAGAGACCAACTCACAAGTCTTTGTGGATTCTTCAGATTTAACGGTAATGATGTAAAATTTTCTGGTGTTTTATCAGTGAAATAATCATTGCTGGTACAATACACACCTGTCTCAGGTAAGTCGTAGCCTAATCAATATGTACCTAATTATGCAGGATCAGTCCCTGGACATTGGTAATGGCCTTACAAAGGCTGTGTTAATGTAGAGCCACCCTGGCCTACAATACAGCACATGGACCCATACATAATAAATCTACCATTCCAAAAGATTAAAACTTTCAATTGATAACAAGTTTATTTTCAGACAAACTGTTGACCTAAGTCACTACCCCTATCAGTGAGGCTGAAATGTTTTCATAGTCTTTCTTTGATCCTATCAGATCTCTTATAAATATGAACTGGATCACACAAAGGATAGATTTTCAATTACAGCAAACAATAACAGTTCAACCATTTTATATCTCTTCACATCTATATTTTCTATCAACAGTTTCCTTTATCTCCAGAAATGGCAATAAATCTCCAGTAACTTGTGCCGGACAGAACAGGTTTCAGCTATAACTCTGACGACCTGGCTTTGTCATTATAGCATTAAGTGTACATATATAGTTTAGTGGCCAGACTCCGAGGCCCACACATTCTACAGGTATGTGTCCTACTAGACATTCACTGACAAATCTACCTTCAGAATCATCATTGACAAAGCCGTAAATTGCTCTCACCTTCTTAATATGAAAATTATTGACCAAATAAATTGAAAGCTGATAAGAGGACTGCAAGGAAGAAACTTTGATCAGATCACCAACACAGAAAACTGTCACAGTAATTTTCACAGACACAAAACCTCACAACTTGCTGTGGATTGAAACTTGGCAACACAAACGTGGGATGAAAAGAATATTTTCAGGAGTATGGAACTCGTTTTACAGTTACATCAGTCTGCCTGTTCAAATGTGAAATCAGACAATATACTGAAAGACATCTAAGAACATTTTCTTCAGTCTGGTAGTGTATATTACTGTATGCTTCACACTGGTAATTTGTCCACTGAGAGCGACAGTGTAGTCAAATTGATAAATAACACACAAATGTAGTCCAGTATGGACTGCTAACATATTGAAATATATACTAATAAAGCAATTAAAACACTTTGTAAAACCTTTTTTCAATGATTCATGGAGTATTGAAGTAGAAATGGTTTTCAAATTCTTCCTTTTTTCAAGTTCTGAAGATATATAGTGCTATATATCACTAATGACCTGAAACAGCTGACAACATAAATGTTTCATTATCTGATTTAGCTGTGATTTAACACCCAGAAATACTTAAAACTTGAAAAACTTTTGTACTTGTACAGAACATTGTAATATATAATTGAAGATATCATTTTGGCAGGGTGAACATTCCATGAGGAAGGATGGGTGTACCCATCACCCTGTGTTGTATTTACAGCCATTACATGACACCCATCAATAAATCTCAACAGTTACAGATATACATCTGTTTAACCAACTGTGTCTGACAACAAAATCTAACAGTGATTGAAAACTCAATTAGGTCCACACATTACACAAACAGAATGAGGGGAGTGAGAGTTGTAGGCAGGTCATGACATCAAACCACCTATCCTGTGAAAAAGGGAAAGACACCCGGAGTCTGTCTCCATCACAAACACTGTTCATACTTTTAAGCTCTAGATCCAAACAGTCAAGATTAAGTGTCTTTTTAAATGAAAGTGAATGTAAATTCTGATAAATTGAAACATGATGAACTCTGATAACATTGAACTGTAAATACAGCACAAATTCCAAAGCTAAAAGCCTCCTTTTTCTTCTGAGCAGTAAATCAGTATTATAGCCCACAGGGGCAATAACCTTATAACTTTAGTAAGCAATGATAAGATACTTCATCCAAATCAGGAACCAGACAACAGCAGGAATAACGTTAATTATGATCACCTTTTTTTCACTGTTCCAATGACAAATACACATGATGAATGAAAAGTGAATTCCTTATATGAATGACCTGCCATTCAACCCAGGCAGAAATGAATGGAAACATTAAGATTGTTATCACACAACATAATTCTGGGGACAAGTGCTCAAACCAATTAACACTGTAAAATATCAGGACAATTTTTCTGTCCAAAATGCTTCCTGACACTTCACTATGGTATTGTATAGAATTTCTAATGTTATATACAGGAGATTATAGTCAGCGACCACTTCTTACAAATCGTGGTAATTTTCTCGGGTAATGGCGTACAAAGATGTGCCAGTTTAGGTTTCGCCCTTTATCATAACTGATTGATTTCTGAAAAGAAGAGATTGACACGCGTTCAGTCTACAACTATGGACAGATAAAAAATACAAAATGTCTGCCTAAATACCTAGTCCCCACATTCAGGTCCACAAGGTTTTGTTGGTATTATTATATATGCCAATAACAAAACACCGGAATTGCATTTTAAGTGCCCAAAAACATTTAATTTCCTGAATAGAATATAGAGAAAGCAATGAAAAAATAACCAATAAATATGAAGAGATTGAGGGATAAACCCCTGCTTATGTAGGCAGCCCATCATTACCGAGGTACCAACAATACACCTCACCAATCCAGTACTGTTTTTCTTAAGTCAAACCAGAAATATTCAATACAACACCTTTGCAAAATGTTCACAGGACTTTAAAAAGCTTTTCATATTTTATGAAGCTTTATCGTTTCATATTTTTTTCTGACAAAAGATGCAATTTCTCTCATCAAATAGAGCAACATTTAGGGTATAACCTGTCTATCAGGGGCTATGTCAAAAGTATCAAAACCTCATTACCAGGTACATCTAGGATATTCTTTAGAAAAGTAATACAATTGATAAAGTGGCCATTTCTGTCCAATGTGGATCTGTGATAGAACAAACATTGTGATGAGTTCCTGGGAACAAACTAGTGACTTCAACTTGATCACAACACACCTAGAAATACCGACAGAAATACCCTTAATGAAATCTGTAAAAATGTCAGACTTAATAAGTACAATTCCTGTTTAAAATGAAAATCACAAGTAGAATTCCTAAAGAATAATTAACAAGGTTAAACTGGGTTTTTTTTGCAAAAGAATCATTTAATTTATATCAAGACACAAAAGAATTGTTTTTTTTTATGATGATTGCTGATTTGCGCAATAGGAGATTGACAAAAAGTTAAAATTGAGTCAAGAAAAGTGAAATTGAACAAAACTCTGTAACAACGAAAAATTGTCTTCAAAGACTCATCATGGCCATATCATTGTCCCCTCCAATCACTTAACAGAGGCCACAGTAGCCTCATCATGTCCTCTACAATCACTTAACAGAGGCCACAGTAGCCTCATCATGTCCCCTACAATCACTTAACAGTGGCCACAGTAGCCTCAGTCATCATTGTCATTGTGAATCCAATCACTGCTCATGAAATGGGTGGCAGTTTTTAAAAAGAATATATTTCAAGTTGTGTAATTTGATGGTTCATCTTTCAATTTTTAAAGTGACCAGTGGTGGCCCAAAGGCAGAGAAGGTACAATCAACAGGACAAGACATGTCCTGCTTTCTGTGACGGAATTAAGTCACTGTTACAATGATTCGGTAATTAGTATACATACAAAGACATAGACACTGGGTGTGACATGTCCAAAGCTCGGGCCAAATCATATTACTATAATGCCACAAAGTCACATAATGAGGTGCCGATCACCAGCTCAACTCAAAAGTCTTTACACACTTTTATCCAAATAGATCTCCTACTAATAGTTTGGCATTACCTGATTTCAATGCCTAAGTTATGGTCTGGGCGTATCTTTATTTTGGGTTGAAGTCTTGTCTAAGTAAATAGATTTGATGTGTAGAGTAGGTTTTGTTCACATTGGAATTTCAATTGCAAAGCCTTACTGTTCAGGTCAGGTACCAACCCAACCCCAGCAGTGTGATCTTGTACACGAGGCTATCTGTTAACAATTTAAACACAAGGTTCCATCATATCTTACTGACCCTTAACTGGAGTCTTTTGTCTGCTGAACAAATCATATACAATATTTCAGTATAGAGCAACAGAATAGCGTTCCTGGTCAGGCCAAACAAATTACATTTATCACGAACAACACAGCCAAGATAATTTTGGTTCTCAGTTGATATACAAAACAATCTCAACTGCCACGAAAGTGCTCCTGGTCAGTAGAATTACAATTGTTGTATTATTTATTTTTCATTGTCCCTCACTCTATGTGTTTAAAGTACAAATATCTTGTATAAATTAAATCCTTTATGTATTTGATATATATACAAACAAATCCTGAGCACACAGTTCGACTAAACACTTCTCTCTACTCACGCTCCAAGCACATCATCAACATTTTTTTACTTATAATAACCCATCATAACTTAAACTTCAATAATTTAATTACGTTTAAATATGTATTAATAAAGATTGGAAAAAGCGTCTCAACATTATATGGATACTAGATATCGGCTGGGCTATACCAGATCACGTAGAATTTGCATTAAACCTTGAAATCAAATTATATTTATTGTGTCACTTTCCCAGGATGTTTGCTATATGGAGTCAGCAAACAAGGTAACAGGAAAGTGTTATTTATTCTGTTCTACCTGTTTATCAATGATTAGTTTTCTACACATGTCCTCGTCAGCTTGTGTGCCTGTATGCTTACCCCAACTTACCTGAGAGAGCTACCTGGAACTTTTCACATAATATTTTTTTCTGAAATTTTATTTGAAGTATACTGTACATTTAGTAGTGATGTTGACAACAAGGGTGTCAAGAGAACTGTGCGATATATTCTAAGCACCTTCTAACTTACTCTAACATAACTTGCAAGTCAATTTGTAATCCTGTAAAAATATACATTCTTTATCATACATTAAAATTTCTGAAATCCTTGCAGTAAAGAACTCAGGTGAGTACCGATACTTTTCGCTTTAAATACAAAATTTTTTTTTTGCTTTTTTTAAGAACACATTGATTATCAGACATCAACTCCATGAATTGTGCATTTCAGCTGTCAATGATATTTACATGTGAATAATCTTTACTGATAACAAGATTTAATAAAGTTTAATGGACATTTTACGGCAGAAATAAACCACAGAGTTAAAATTTCAGATTGGCCCCCCTGTAACAGGACATAACAGTTTGTCTGGTATGGAGTGATCAGGTGAGATACAAGGACACCGTGAAATGGCTTGTGTTTACTACGTTTATCAAGATCACTTCCTTTGGAAATACAGCGTACCAATTTACAAGTATAAGCTATATACATTAATGTTATTTGATAACCTATCCAAGTGAAAATTTATTCAATTCTGATATCCTATCAGATATTTTCATTTCAAAATATACAGCTTTGATCTAAACTAGAAAGTTTTTATTTCGTTAATGAAATCCTACATTTGACTTGCCTGAATTATCTGTCCCCACAAAAATCTATAACATGATATTACGGGGTCACAGCAGTTATCTTTGATCATCACTTCCATCAGAACAAGTCTGATAGATTTTGATATACCAATGTTTGATGTTTTCCGTGTATCTGAGAAAGGCATAAAACCAACAGTCTTTCAGCGATGAAAGAGATAGCCATAGATACTGTCAAGAAAATAATTTGACTATCATAATGTTATATCCATACAGAATGTCTTTTAAAATATCTCAGCCATAACTTTATTATGAAATCTACACATGAACTTGTTCCCTCTAATCAGCTGGTATATCTAAAGGACAATTTCAATCTATTAAGATAACTTTTAGATGTTATCAATTCAAAGTATTAACAGGTGAAACTTCTTTTGATATTTGTCAAATTGTAGTTAAATGAAGTTCAAGTAGTCTTTATCATAATCCAGATAATGAATATTGATAAAAAATATCCATATCATGGTTATCACCAGAGCCATTCAAGAAACTGATCGACTAAGATTAGAGTATAAGATTAGTCCTTAGTGTAAGTCTACACCCGCGATAGGTGTGATAATTACTAGATTTCCGTCAGAAACATGGCAGACTCACATCTCATACACATCTACCTACCAGTATATCACCTGAGCTATGCACATTATTTGTTTAAAATATTTGAAATGTAACATTGACAATGGGTATGAAAACTTCAAACAAGTACATTTATTATCAAACTTTGTCATAAAATTTTAAAAAAAAAAGAGAAGGTAAATGTCTTTGATCAATAAAGCACACTGAAAAGTTTGCCACAAATATGAAATATCTGGTACATATATATAATGTAGGTTTATATCATAGTGTCATGTGTTTACTTACTGTATTATACACTGTACAAGTCACAAAAAAAATATATTATGGAACACTGGTAAAATACTAGCTTCGAAATACTGCTGGGCTAGAGAGAACTTCTTTCAGCTCAACTGGAAGAGTGCAAGACTTGTAAGCCAGAGGTCAGAAGTTTTTGCTCTTCAATCATATTTAAATGACATCAATATTTAAGTAACATCAATTTTGTAATTATATAAGGTTTGTTTGTGAGGAGGTACTTATCAGATCATAAATTAATATTGAAGTCAAAAAGTCGAACAGAATATAAAAGATTTTATCATAAGGATATTTACATATATCATACTTTACCTTGATGTCAGAAAAAAAGTATTGAACTGTATAAAAAATATTTGTTACCAGTGGGTTTTTTTAATATACAGCACGGTTCTGATTGTACACTTTTAACTAGCTCTGTTGATATATCACATGTGTACAAAACATAAAATATTGATGTGTATGTATACAGGTTCCAAGCTGTCCATCTGTCAACATAAGTGGCATACAGTCTTGTGTTCAGATATGGCAGAAATCATTCAAGTGTGACACTGATATTTTAAATGTTTAATTGATCATGTAATTGCCAAAAAAAGTGAATGTCACAGCAGCTCCATGAAGACAGCGCCCAAATGGTAGAATTATAGGACAGTGAAAAATGGTCATGCTCTGGACAATACATAGATTTTTCATCAATTCAAAACCAATGATTTCTTAAACTTAAAAGACATGGCTGTATGACTGTTGGCTATATTAGACTTACTCAAAATGACTGACATTTACAAGTATGATCAGGTTTAAAAAAATACAGTTATTGCAAACTGGCCTGCATGATTACATTCATGCCCGCATATAGTTTGCAACAGATTTACATAAATATAAAGTTTTTTTTCTGTATTCTTCATTGCACACAGGGCCTCGGTCATAAACTGCAACAGGGTATTGCTGAGGATGGTGTCACAAATGTGTGAATATTCACACTCCTTAGTCAACAAATTCTGACTTACAACTCATTTGTGACATCCTCAGCAATTATGAAAACTAAGAAATCGTAAAAGATGAGAAAATTATGTATATTTGGGGTGGTAGCTGGTATAATTATGTGACTTGGCAGATTTTGTGATAGCCTAAAACTCATCACCATGGTTCAGGCATTGTATATAAACCTGATTAGATACCTGTGGCAACTTTTTTAGACATTTATGTCATTTTCTGAGTAATCAAAGCAGTTGATGAGTGACTCTGCAGGTTTTATATAGGTTAACTGTACAGTTTTTGCTACCACTACGCTCATAGAGATGTCAACATAGACACCTACCTGGTATTCAGAAGACAACATTTCTATTTAATTCATGAGGATATTTATTTTATGGTCAATTCTCACTTGTTTTATTTTTTTAACACATATTGTTTATTTGTAAGGTTTATCACCCCATGAACAGATATGGTCATTTTGAGGCAGGATCTGCTGGTGATTAACCGCACTGCACACCATGCATGAGGCCCATCGTATGGTGGTCAAAAGTCTATTGCCCAAGAGGACATGTAACCGTGACAATGCAGGACACTATATCATCTCAGCTTCCTTAGAAACACAATCTACTTCTAGCAAGAATCAAACCATACACTTAAAGTAGGGTTACAGTTTCATGATCCACTGGCTGAACCTATAAAGACCCTCGTTATCTTTTCTAACAGTAATTATCGACTATTGTTTTTACATGTAAATAATAACAGAATTCAAAGAATATGAGGGTTAAACACAGAGTCAAATTTTGTTTCACAAGGTATCACATCTGCTAAATGAATTTCTGCAACAAAAATCTAACATGATGTACTGATATACAGAACTGGAGCACATCATTTCAGAGTTTTGTGATATTTGTAATGTTTGAGATGACTTACTTTCCGAGTGGGTTGACGCTGGCCTCCACTGTATGTAGGTATTTACAACATTTGATGTTCTCTGGCATGTCAATGATACCTGCAACACAACAGAAATCTCTACCAGTCAATTAAAGAAACAAATAAAGTCTCAAATTATATTACAAGGATTTCAAATTCCTCTTCCTTGTAATTATATGCACAAACCTTAATTCAAATGTTAGAATATCTTGAGAAATTCAGATTTTATTAATAATGATCGTAAGTTGATGTTATTAGAGATGATGTTTTATCACATATTCTCCTAAACCTTAGCAGAATGTTGGAAGCTGGACAACAGTTGGAAAGGAACATAGTTCTAAAGCCAAACAGAGAAAATTAGCACAAAATGTGTACTATGTGCTACTTCTAAAACCTCCAGATATACCTAAGTTGTGTGTAATAGTCTTGAACCCTCTGGATAAAATTAAGTACAAAGTACTACTTCTCAAACCCTCCAGTTATACATAAACATTATGTACAATGTCTGGATAAAAAATAACAAAGTACAATAGTACAATGTCTATAAAAATAAGTACAAAGTACTACTTCTCAAACCCTCCAGTTATACATAAACATTATGTACAATGTCTCGCACCCTCTGGATAAAAATAAGTACAAAGTACTACTTCTCAAACCCTCCAGTTATACATAAGTACTATGTAATAGTCTCAAACCCTCTGGATAGAAATAAGTACTATGTACTAGCTATATAGTATAGCTAAAGGACAAAAGTACAGTGTACCAGGATTAACTAAAGAAATAAGAAACACTTGTCGACCCTATAAGGGCAGATACATAAAACGACATTGTTGAGGAGAGAGGGGAGGAACACTTCTCAACCCTTATGGATATGTGTAAGGGTAGGAGGGTACATTGACATTAGCACGAAGGCTGGCAGGTTTGTATCAATTATAATTTCACATGGCACGTCTCCCTTCCTCTAAATCTTTATATTCTTTACATTTAAGAATATCAAGTCCTCCCTTAAGAATGTCTGTTTACATGGGAACCGAAAAAGAGACTACAAGGTCAGACATCCAATAGAAACAGAGATCACGTAACGGGATAGATGTACCGAAAGGTTCATATAACACCAACAACAAGCTTCCTGCTTTTGTTGTTGTTAGATTCTCAACTCCACCACAGGCTGATGGAGAAGAATGAGTTAAATTACTGGACAGCCCTGCCTTGTATAAATATCTCACGAGGTGAATCTTTAAAAATACACGTATAATTAATTCAATAAACTCAAAAAGCATTTTACATTTTTTATTCCTTACATACTTGAATTTTAAAGACTTGAATTTTGATTCACTCTATAAATTGCAAAGGTAGTTTATGACCCTGAGGAAAAGAAAGAAGCATTCCTCTTTATCGTTAAGAACAAGGACCTTTAACACTCAAGCACAACTGACTGTGACTGCCTTCCTCAATCAACGTTATTACGACATTAATACTATCAACAAATGATTTGACATATAACTACTCTGTTTGGTTGAAGAGCACTACTCCATATGTTAATTCTGCTAATCACTTTTCATATAAATATTTACATTTCCATTATATAAGACGTTCGCTGAAATATCATAAATCTGGTTCATATGAACTGTCTATAAAGACTGACACACAAACCATCAAGGCCCTTACAAATGAAACAAAAGTTGTGAATTTGTTTGCATACCCGCTGGTTACAAATCAATAACACTGCACCAGAAGTTTTTATCAGACAGAAGCTTTACACAAGGCCCTTAACATTGCTCCTATTTTGCTGGAATCAATATGTGTCACGCAGAGAGAATGAAAAATTGGAATTATTTCTATAAGTAATCAATGTGTTGCCTACAGGTGTGTGTAAGATCCAGCCCCTCCCCCTTTTATCGACAGTCGATCAATGGCCTCCCAGCTTACCTGGCCCTAGTCCCATGCCAATGTTAAGGTATTAATACTTAATCATAGCCATATACCAATATGGGGCTTTACGAGGCACTAAATCCTTATCAATTCCACTGCTACACATACTATATGCACAAGTACATAATCTAATTTATAACTGCACTGGTTTATTTAACTTTCTACACCTGAAGAATCCTGAAAAATTATGTAATCCATGTAGTTAGATACAATTAGATGGAAGACATGTTACTTGGAGTAATTGTCGTAGGAAGGTGGGTTTGGTGAGAGGAGACCGGTAAACAGAAGAAAAGTTATGGGTGTTTGGTGAGACAAGACAGGCATTTCAGAAGAAGAGTTGGGGGAGGGGGGTTGTGGTGAGAGGAAATTAGTAATAAAAAAGAGGATTTGAGAGTGTTTGGTGAGACGAGATAGGTTATTTAGAAGTAAAGTTGGGAGTGTTTGATGAGATGAGACAAGCATTTCAAAAGAAGAGTTGGGGAGTGTTTAATGAAAGGAGACAAATATTTTGTAAGAGGTGTTTAATGACAGAAAACAGGTAGGAAAGGACATGAACTACATTGCAATATATTCACTCTATGATTTTTCAACAATCATGTACAATAAATCATAGATTTACTTTTTTTTACTTTGTACCATTCACAATTTCATGTTCACTACATGTTAAATGGAGCCAGTAATTACATATACTAGTGGTACCTGAGGGGAGGTATTTTATCTGAGGACACACATCTATATATAGTCATTTACATAATTAGATAGCACCTCACTGTCTGACGGCTATATCTAATTATGCAGATAGCAAAAGTGCGTTATCCAACAGTGAAATTCACACCAGAGAAAGACTAAGTAATTCTATTGAAATTCAAACCACAGATTGAATTTCTGACTGTATCCACAGAAATGTATCAAATTATCATACTCAAAATTTGTCTTGGCATAAGATATGTGAAAGCATCTTTTTACAGGCTGTCAAAATACCATTAGCGGTATGTGCAAGCAGTTCTTTTGAAAAGAATGAAAGGTTGGGGCCAATGAATTGGGGACAAAGCATATAGGGAATGAGAGATAGGAGGTGATGGGGCAAGGGACAGGAGGCTGAGGATAGGGGACAAGGGATAGAGACTGGAAGAAAGGGTGACAGGACAGGATAAGGGTAGGACCCATGTGCATGTAATGTATCTTTATTCGACACCTTTTAGATGTGACCAAATAGGCTAGAAATCTTCGTTATTTCCCATCACTTTCAAGCAGATTAACTGTGTTCGTATGATAACATCCTTCTACCAACTAGCTCATGTAACCTCTTCTTCCTAGTTCCCAAGATAGTTCCATACCCACGGACTCATAAAACATGTTCCTCACATTTCACAAAATAGTATACCCAATAGCCCATATAACCTCTTGCTCCTAGTACACAAGATATTATATCCCCTGGCTCACATAACCTAGTTCACAAGATATTCCCCCTGGCTCATATAACCTAGTTCACAAGATATACCCACTGGCTCATATAACCTTCTCCTCTAGTTCACAAGATATACCCACTGGCTCATATAACCTTCTCCTCTAGTTCACAAGATATACCAACTGGCTCATATAACCTTCTCCTCTAGTTCACAAGATATACCCCCTGGCTCATATAACCTTTTTCTCTAGTTCATAAGATATACCCCCTGGCTCATATAACCTTCTCCTCTAGTTCACAAGATATACCCCCTGGCTCAATTAACCAGCTCTTCTAGTTCACAAGATATACCCACTGGCTCATATAACCTTCTCCTCTAGTTCACAAGATATTCCCCCTGGCTCATATAACCTTTTTCTCTAGTTCATAAGATATACCCCCTGGCTCATATAACCTTCTCCTCTAGTTCACAAGATATTCCCCCTGGCTCATATAACCTTCTCCTCTAGTTCACAAGATATACCCCCTGGCTCAATTAACCAGTTCTTCTAGTCACAAGATATACCCACTGGCTCATATAACCTTCTCCTCTAGTTCACAAGATATTCCCCCTGGCTCATATAACCTTTTTCTCTTGTTCATAAGATATACCCACTGGCTCATATAACCTTCTCCTCTAGTTCACAAGATATTCCCCCTGGCTCATATAACCTTTTTCTCTAGTTCATAAGATATACCCACTGGCTCATATAACCTTCTCCTCTAGTTCATAAGATATACCCACTGGCTCATATAACCTTCTCCTCTAGTTCACAAGATATACCCACTGGCTCATATAACCAGCTCTTCTAGTTCATAAGATATTCCTCCAGGCTCATTTAAACCATTCCTCCTAGTTCACAAGTAAGTCCCATTATAACATAGGTGTTCCACCTCGTTCACGAGTTGGTCCTGTTTTTATAGTTATCCATTCCTTCAGACTGATTATCCTTTGGAGAGCTTTCATTATGAAAATATGGCCACCTTTTCTGAGTAATGGCCCTTGATTGTCGACATTTACAGCTCCATTATAATAACTGACCCTCAACTGCCCACTACTGATCAGCACTCAGGACAGTATTGCACTTAAAGGGTCACTTGAATGAGGTCTGGAGTGATGAAGGTGTTTCTGCCTCACTATTGATCTAATGAAGCCAAACTGTACATGTTCTGTTACTTAATAAATACTGTTTACTTTTCTGGTAATTAGGCACAAAGTAAATGTGTATGATGTGTTTGGTCAACAGTGCCTTACATTAAAAGCTGTAGCTGTTAAAACAGCTTTAAAAAAGATTTACACATGGCAATGCCTAAGGCTCTGGACTAGTTGTGGTCTGACCCATAGTAAAAGGTTAAGTCCCCAGTATCAGATACATAAAATGGTTTTACAATGGAAATAAAAACTTTTGATAAGGTGGACCTAGATAAGCAATATTTAGGGTTCTAGAGTGCATCTTTGATGTCACTCTGGATACTGGTGAAATGGTCATAAAAGGTCATGAAGTTTAACCAAGCATGAACATGATTATAGATCTTGTTTATAGATTCTAGATATATATATTATATCAATAATTTTTTTCAAAATTATTAAAAAAAAAAGTTTCAAGGAAGAAAATTCACAAACCATGATGTTACATACAGTATCTGTGGTTTATGCTCAGTATGAAAAGGTTGTTACTGTTATAGTATCAAAGATATGAATAAGGTTTAGTTTATGTAACATCTGTTTTAATTGTATAAAAAAAGTGTGTGGGTTTAAGGCAGCAATAGTAAAATATGGATTTTATAATCATACAATAATGAATACCAGCTGTGATTTACAAAATTTTTGAAGATTTTCCTTTTTTGTCGAAAAAGTGAGTACCCATAACCCTCCATCCATTCCATTGCCTTTCTCCTCCTTCAGTCTTCCTTTCCTACATTACCGCTTCATCTCTCACTCACTCGATCCTTCCATCTCTATATCCCTCCCTTTCATCCCATCCTTTCCTCCTTTACCACTTCATCCCTCACTCACTCGATCCTTCCATTTCTGTATCCCTCCCTTTCATCCTTCCTTTTCCCCTTTACCACTTCATCTCTCTTATTCATTCCATCATTCCCTTCCTCCTTCCTCTCATCCCTTCCTTTCCTAGCCCCTCTAACTGCCTTATATCTAACAGTCTATATCTAACAATACCCACCATTTTTACTGATGTCGAGGTCTTCCAGGTTGATGAGGCTAGCAATTGCTGGAGGGATGTGTGTGATCTCATTGTCACTCAAGCTCAGCTTCCTTATCCCATGGCAGGAGAATAACTCCTAAAGTTAAACGCAACAATATTTATAAAAAAAAATACATTTTAATACATTTTTAGCTTTGATGATGCTCTGAAACGTATTTTGTTTTAATGGAAGAGATACAATATCATTAAGAGTGCAAATAATTAAATGTCCAAAAATAATGTTATGCCACGCCATTCTGTCTCTGAGTTATCGCAAGGTACCTTTGAGGAAGGTGTTAGGTGGAGAGTTAGCATTTCATCTGTACATCCAGATTATACAAAACCTCCTGTTTGGCTATGTTTCTCCTTCAAATGATTCTATCCTTATAATAATACCAAACTTATGTCTAAACATCACATATGTAACAGTAAGATGTCAATTTATTGTAGAAATGTGCCAGTTTTTGAGTGGGAATTGTGAACATCATAAACGTATCAAAACAAATAGCACAGTTTTCAAAATAAATCTGAAATAGAAATATCAAACAGTCATTTTTATCTGCAATTTTAAAATCACATCAAAATCAATAGGATAGAATATACAGAGATGATCAATTCAGGTAGAATCCAGGTATCAGTAGTTAACGAGATTACACTGGGATTACATGTGCCAGGTGTAGTAAAAAGGAAAGTCAATTTGTACAGAGAGAGTAAAAGCACTATACATGTTACATATTACAAGTGTCTGTATCGTGTGTGTTTGTGTTGAATTGTCAGTCACATCTATTATTCATCTACAGATACATCCAATACTTACCTGTAAGCAAAATTACAACACACTTACCCTCGGTAAATCTCGGATCTGATTAGAATCAACAAATAGCTCTTCAAGGGTTCGTTCAAAGTTAAAGACTTCCGATGGAACGTCTGTTAAACTACAATGCCGATAGTCCAACTCTCGGACATCCTCCTCTATCTGTGGCCGTAGACACGGACACTTCTTCACAAAGCCAGCCATTTAGTCACCCTGAAAACACACCAAATTTATCACTTATTAATATAGTTAGAATTTATAAATATCATAAGTGGAAGTATTTAAACAATCTGTTATTGTTTATATATGAGTATCAACGATATTACATTGTCAATTTTAATTGAAACCTTGTCCCTGATAAGCAATTAAGGTTTAAAATCAAAATCTGTCACACATTTACATCCATTACATGACTGACCTGTGTGTGTCATGTTATACTGCCATGTCTTGAATATTGTAAGACATGTGTAAGAACACTTTTGTGACATCATAAATGTCACGTCTTGATGACAAGATTGTCTTGGTAATACAAAATCTGTACTGTACCACAAAAGTTGAAACAAGTCTGTCTTCTAGCGACTTTCCACTTATCTCTCAGAAATATGGGTTATATTATTAATACAATGGTATACATGTGCCAATCTAATAAGGAATTTATCAAAAAATCTTACATATCAGTTGTCTAAAGGCTCATGACATATCAAATTATTGAACTCTTTCCATGAATTCCATATCACACTAACACTCATGTAAAATCCTCTATATATAGGTATATATATATCAATTTCTTTGCATTTTTTAAAAAGTATTTTAGATCATCCAGCGATAAGCACATGGTCAGTAATAGGCCCACTTTTGCTGTTGAGTAGATCATAATGAATCCTACAAGCTATTATGTATCGTGCTGTAATATACTGAACAATTGCACCCCCTTCCCGATCACCTCCACCTTCAGCCCCTCCCCCATCACCTCCACCTTCAGCCCCTCCCCCATCACCTCCACTTTCAGCCCCTCCCCCATCACCTCCACTTTCAGCCCCTCCCCCATCACCTCCACTTTCAGCCCCTCCCACATCACCTCCACTTTCAGCCCCTCCCCATCACCTCCACCTTCAGCCCCTCCCCCATCACCTCCACCTTCAGCCCCTCCCCCATCACCTCCACTTTCAGCCCCTCCCCCATCACCTCCACTTTCAGCCCCTCCCCATCACCTCCACTTTCAGCCCCTCCCACATCACCTCCACTTTCAGCCCCTCCCCATCACCTCCACCTTCAGCCCCTCCCCCATCACCTCCACCTTCAGCCCCTCCCCCATCACCTCCACTTTCAGCCCCCACCCCATCACCTCCACTTTCAGCCCCTCCCCCATCACCTCCACTTTCAGCCCCTCCCCCATCACCTCCACTTTCAGTCCCTCCCCTATCTCCTCCACTTTCAGCCCCTCCCCCATCACCTCCACTTCCAGTCCCTCCCCCATCACCTCCACTTTCAGCCTCTCCCCCATCACCTCCACTTTCAGCCCCCACCCCATCACCTCCACTTTCAGCCCCTCCCCCATCACCTCCACTTTCAGCCCCCACCCCATCACCTCCACTTTCAGTCCCTCCCCATCACCTCCACTTTCAGCAGGAAGTAATCTACTGTTGGCTGTCTCCGTGACTTATTGAATATAAATGGTGATATAACTAGTGTTACTTAAAACCCTACTGTGTCACACAGACCACTTGATATAATAACAAATAGATCATATTATTATGCATTTGTTCTAAAACAATATCATTAAGATTCATGGTTGTATCCAACATCTCCAATAGGTAAAAGACATTGTCATCAAGTAAAAGAAGGCTCACTGAAATTCAAACACCAAAAACAGAAACAAAAAAATTAATTTCGTAATTTCATTTATTCAAATCCACACACTAAGTATAGGAAAATGAAACGTTGTTGGCATTTGTTGTTACTTCATATCCAGGACAAGTGTTTTTTTCACCGCATTAATCAATCCTTGTACATGGCACTTTAACTCCAAGCTTTTGAGGAATACTTTAACTTCACATACCTGTAACATGTATAATATATCCCACAAACCACTCCTAGTCCCTCCCTAACAGTAGCCTGAACCAGTGTGACATCAGATATACAGATTTTGTATCGGCTGTAAAATTGAATTTCAATAAGAAGATTACCTCAGTGCAGTGGAATTCTATCTGCTGAAAAATTTACATGACAAGACATTTAAATCCTAATCCTGATGTGTGGTGTCTAGTACAACTTACTGCACGTCTCGGTATTCTTATTTATCCTTGTAAAATTAGGTCATGTCTAGTACAACATACCATATGTCCCTGTATTCTTATTTATCCTTGTAAAATTAGGTCATGTCGCAGTATTCTTATTTATCCTTGTAAAATTAGGTCATGTCCCGGTATTCTTATTTATCCTTGTAAAATTAGGTCATATCTAGTACAACTTACTGTATGTCCCGCTATTCTTATTTATCCTTGTAAAATTAGGTCATGTCTAGTACAACTTACTGCACGTCCCTGTATTCTTATTCATCCTTGTAAAATTAGGTCATGGCTTGTACAACATACTGTATGTCCAGGTATTCTTATTTATCCTTGTAAAATTAGGTCATGTCTAGTACAACTTACTGCACGTCCCTGTATTCTTATTTATCCTTGTAAAATTGAGTATATTTTACTGCATGTCCCATGTTCTTGTTTATTTTCATAAAATAAGGTCATGCCCATGAGTACAAATTATGGCACGTCCCCATGTTCTTGTCTATTTTCATAAAATAAGGCCATGCTTATAAGTACAAATTATGGCATATCCCCATATTCTTGTCTATTTTCATAAAATAAGGCCATGCTTATAAGTACAAATTATGGCATATCCCCATGTTCTTGTCTATTTTCATAAAATAAGGCCATGCTTATAAGTACAAATTATGGCATATCCCCATGTTCTTGTCTATTTTCATAAAATAAGGCCATGCTTATAAGTACAAATTATGGCATATCCCCATGTTCTTGTCTATTTTCATAAAATAAGGCCATGCTTATAAGTACAAATTATGGCATATCCCCATGTTCTTGTCTATTTTCATAAAATAAGGCCATGCTTATAAGTACAAATTATGGCATATCCCCATGTTCTTGTCTATTTTCATAAAATAAGGCCATGCTTATAAGTACAAATTATGGCATATCCCCATGTTCTTGGTTTTTTTTTCAAGAAATATGTTCATGTCTTAGTACAGCTTATTGCACATCCCTGAAATAATTCTCACACAAAACAAATATCTTTCTATATCTTTGTCCAGAAATCAATCACTCATACTGATAGTAATACAAATATTATCCAGATATTCACATTTATTCTTCATATGCATATCATTACAATATTATTGATACTGAAATATTGTTAAATTAATATTATAAGTTTCTGTTGAAGATGTGCTGCCCTTGAAAGTGACTAGAATTGTAGATGTGCGCCAGTAAGTTCTGAGTTTTTAATCAGGTAATGAGGTGTACCTGTGAAGTTTTACCAATTCTGTACTATTCACATGAGTATTTCTTCAATAACTGCCTATACTGTTATGACACCAATCCCTTCCACAGTAGGTATCACTTTCAAACCCATACACCAGCGTAACTATAACAGGCACATTAACTCTGTATTTAACCACTTAATTGCAAAGTACTGGTAATTTGTCCTATGGAACAATGACCATGCACCCATCTGACAGTGTCACATGTATACAATTATTACTTATCACTTAATAATGGGACTTTTAGACAATTTTATCTCGTTTCTAAATCAAGCATAACAAAATTCCTAGATACCATGTTTGATTAACTCTAAAATTCCTCATTACAATATTCTATTAATTCAATATAGTTGAATTATTTTCCGTAATGGAATTTAAATTAGTCATAATGTTTCAAATGCTGTAGTTTGTTGGGTAATTATCTTGAATGACGTTGCTTGAATTAGACACTGTCAATATATATGATAAAGGTCAAGTACTATCTGTATGCTGATTTCAGTTTTTCAAAGTTAAAAAACATTTACAAAATTGGCTATTAAATAAATGAATACAACAAAACATGAAAAGCAGGAGATATTTAGCAAGGATCTTGTTTATTTCCTTGACACAGATTTACTATAAAACCTACAAAAAGGTCTTGATATCATCAATCAAACCCATACAGCACTACCTCTTATACAGGAAGCTGATAAAAAACTAAATTAAATCTATTGATCAACATTGACTGCTAGTGACAGGTAAACAACCAACTCTCTGGCGTCTGGCCGAGCTCTGCTGTGTGTTAGATAGTCTACTGAGTGGTTATAGGAACTTTGAATGACAATAAAACACCATTTCCTAGCTAATAAAAGAGATCTGATTCAGTTTCTATAGCCAGAAGTGAATGCATGATGTATTGTTTGGATTAGTTAGTGATATTATCATCTATATAAGCTAAAATACCATTTGAAACTTGTCAAATTTGTAGTTGTATATAGCGATAAAACATGGAAATTTTAGGGATTGGGAATGGTGTAGTTATACAGTAATAATGGCCAATCATTACTGATGATATCGCTGTATTCTGCACCGTGATCCGGTCACCTTGTCTAGAGAAAGGTAGGACAGACAAATTGATGTAAGAACTTCATGCCAGACAGCCATTAAAGCACATGTCAGCAGTGGAGGAGAATATAACAGGCTCATTAATTGTTTTCTTACAATAAACGACATTGATCACCTCAGACCTCACAAAAACTAACAAAGTTTATTGCTCTCTACACAGAGAAGTGCCTTTCATTCAACATCACAACATTTATAATTTGGTGTATAAAATAGCAAAGTTCAGGTCCTTCCTCACCAGTACTGTGTGTTTTTTGTTGCTAACATATCTATATTTGACATTTGAATAAATTAATTGACTAAACTTAAATCAAATATTTCAACTTCCTGTGCCAATTAAGAGACCAATACACAAGAGTGCTAGCATGTGGCAAGACATGCTCATTCAACTGGAGTATAAAACAGTACATACATCTGACACAAAGGATTAATTTTCCTGGATTCTGACATACAAATGTAATTCCATAAATTGTATTTACTGAAATATCTCTATCTTCATCTCTATGAGGTTTTCCCATTTCACCTTTCCAACATTAATTATTCAATGTTCAATACATCAACATATTTTACATCCATACAGCATGCTTTTGACCATTGTATATTTTCGCAATATGTCCACGCCTGGTAATAAGCCTTTTTACTATATACCAAGGGCTTTTTAGCTGTTCAGTGACTTAAGTCTACAGTAACATGTTTACCCTCTGGGACTTGCAGTTTGCAGTAATGTGTCTTCCCTATGGAATTTAGAGTCTGCTGTAATGTGTGTTACCTTTTGAGCTCAAGTGTTGTTTATTAATGAGAAATAGAAAAACTGCAGTGAAAAAACCTCTAACTGATTACTTATTAATTAATCATAAATGAAGAATTTCCTGTCCAGCTTCATTCACATTTTTCTTTTTTTTTAAGAGGGCAACTTCGAAGTTTGATTATCAAAAGGTTCAGAATCAGAATTATATTCTTTCTCTTTTAAGGGTGGTTTTAATAATATAGACCAAAACTTTATCCCAAAGCTAACTTGCTACGTGTTGATATGGCCTGAAGTGTCCCCGTTTCACTATATATACGAACATATAGTGACAATGAAACACTAAGGAAGATTTGGAACTGAAGTTACTGTTTATTTATTGGTTCAGCTACAGTGCATTAGGTACAAATATTGTTCTCAATGAATTCATCACTACAGTCAATCTATGTACACAAATTTATCTCCTAACTTTAAACCATTTTATGTAATTACAACACTACAGACTGCTTATTCAACAAAAGAATGAATAGACAAAGAAGTAAAATTGTCCTGAAATGATTTGATGACGATAATTTCAATTTTTTGTATACCTGAGTTAGTTCCCTCAGGGAGGTGACACAGACTCTTTTGTATCCTAACATACAAAGTAAATATTCTAAACTGAATCCAATAGATTGTACTGAACCAATCAGTGGTCATAAACATGTTGATAGAACCCACAGCAGGCTATCAGCTCGGATCAATCAGCTGTTGACTCTCTATTTATCAGAAATTATCTACCACAAACACCATAACCTACTCAATACAAAAGGTAAAAATAATGATAAACTTACACAATATTAGTCATAGTACAGGAAGACCCTTTCCAAAATAAAAAGCTCCACCTACATATTAGCATTTACAGCCACACACTTAGATGTATTTCAATTTGTTTACACCTGGCTTTCCCTATTTCTTTACTTTTTGTCTAATAATTTAATGAATGAAATTTTAAATAGGACCTGATAGCACAAGCTACTAAATAGCATCATTTTGTTATTTGCCGAGTGATGATTTGCAACAACAAATAGATATACTTCACAAAATATTTTTGCTCCTACATAATAAATTAATATTAGTTTTCTGTCGGTTAAGCCCTGTTTGCAGAAACGGTAGATTACACTAGTTTACATCATCTAACACA